ATTCTCTCTCTCAAATAAATAAATAAAATCTTAAAAAAATATATTAAAAAAAACCCAACAGAATGAAAGAAAAAACAGGTATTGAGAAAGGAAAAAGTAGAAGATAGGAAGACAAGAAGCCTAGAACAGAATTGGAAGTAACAACACACACATAATAAAAAAAAAGGAAGAGATCACTGTTCACAGTGAAACTGCATCTTTAGAGATGTAGTCCTGCTGCCATGTCCCATTTTACAGGTGAGGAGACAGCTTTGAAATGGTCAGATGACTATCCACGGTCACCCAGGTGATTAGTGGTCAAGATTAGAAACAAAGCCCCGACTCAATATTTTGGTGTTCTTTCCGTAACAACATGATTATACAAATTATATCAACAGTAATAATACTTAAAAACAGTTCCATGGGCAAATAGTATCTCAACAAAGTGCTAAACAAGATTTCTTACTTATTAGGTGTGTTGCAAATCTAGAGGAGTCTTAGAATATGTTTCCCCAACTTTGGGCAGTCCTTCACTATGCTATGCTAAGTGAAAAGGAACACAAACGGACATTGAGATAAAAGATGAAGCACCAGTTTGTATAAGGTGCTCAATAAATACTTTCCTTAAACATAGTATAGTGCCAGGTTTTTCTCAGCAGTCAGTGATTTTATAATCAGGAAAAAAATATTTTAAAGAAATGGAAGGAATGGTATTCTTTTAAAGAGCTCTCCAGATTTTTCTGATTGTACTTCTTTAAAGTATCTAAAATGACTCCCTCCTTACTATTATCTAATTTTCCCACAAAAGAGAATGAAATACACATAGAACTGAGAAGTGCCTCTTTGTTCTCTATTTAAGTAACAAAGCTGACAGGCAACATTAAACTTCCTGACTGCACATGCAGTCTCATAACTACTCAAATCTAATCCCTGAACCCCAAAAAGAAATGCTTCTTACCACTTGGGCTTCGAAAAAGAACAGGTGCAGTTGAGTTGTCAGGGTCTTGGGGGCTGGCCTCCTGGCCCATTTCATCACTGTCAGACTCTTCAGCCATAGCTTCTTCTGCTTCCTCATGCTGCCAGCCCCCTTGCCCTGGCTCCTCAGTCTCGGCATCGCTGCCTACCAGGCCAGAGTGAGAGGCTGCCTCTTCCAAGCCATTACTGGGCAATGCAATGACCTGGGCACTCATCAGGGCCTCCATCTCTTCAAAGAAGGGGCAGGTCTCAGGTGGGTGACCACTCTTGACTTTCCTATAGCTCTTCTGGAGACCTTTGAACTTGGTCCGACACTGTTCCAGGGTCCGAAGGAAGCCATACTCCCGGAGCCGCTCAGCCACAGCCCCATACACTTGGCTGTTTCGATGACAGTTTCGGAGAGCCTCATAAAACTCAGTCTGACTGAGAATTGCAAGGAGAGTTCTGGTCTCTTCGTAGCCCCAGTGCACACCTGCTACCTTCTCATCCTCAAAGCCCCAGTGATCCTGGTCCACCCAGCTTCTTCTCTCTCTCTTGGGTGATAACAGATCAGCATGCATTTGTCTGTCTCCTGTATTACTGCCTCTTGGGAGTTCCTTCTCCTTGGAGCCCAGATCAGGGATCCATGGCTCTCCTTGCTCCAACCTGGAGACCACACCGGATTTAGGAAATGGAAATCCTGCTTGCAGGGAAGCAAACAAAGGATATCATAATTTGGATTGATCATAAAAATACCTCTCAGTTCAGACCTGCCTTTTTTTGAATCCAAGAGGCTTATAAACAAAGTGTCTAAGGAAGTGTTTTCAGAAAGTTCAATGGGTTGGAGAAAGTGGGGAAAATACATAAAACCTCAAAAAAAAAAGAGTATTTTCCAGAGTAGGGTGACAAGAGAGGAAAAGGTTCTGTTTGTGTTTTCAGAGCAAATACTTCTGTTCCATGTTGCTCCCTAGCCCTCCTCACCATTTAATAGGTCTTGGCACTGCTAGGAATAGTCTTATAGGAGGTCTTGATATTGCTGGGAACAGTCACCTCCTATCTCCTATAAGTTCTCCACTAGGAGCTAGAGAATTAAACTCAGAGTGATTTCAAGGGGTAAGAGAGTAGGGGGGGAAACTTCAGCTCATCCATTTCCTTCACACTGTCACCAAGTTCTACAAGTTTTTTCCATAGTATGTCCTGCTCTGTTCCTTGTGCCACCATCCAAGTCTAGACCCCTTATCCTCTCACAGCCAGATAAATGTAGCAGTAACTGTCCTACCTAACTCCAGGCTCTTGCTTCCTCAGCTTAAACACTATACTACTGAACCTTAACCCAAGTGCCTACCATGCACTGTTCATTTATATCAGACTCCTCTCTAGAACACAGCATACTATTATTCATCACTCTGTCCCTTTCCTTTAAGTCCCTCCTATTCAAATTTAACCCATTCTATGAGAAGTTGTATTTGCCAAAGCCTCCCTACGAAGTCTTCCCTACTGCCCTCCCTCATCTCTCACTCTGCCAAACCCCTACTGTACTCACACAAATTGAGTAACAGTCATTGTTTGGCACGGTTTCAGTACAGTTTAGTTCGGTACATATTTGCTTCCAATCACACCCTAAGCTCTTTGAGAACAGGCACCTTTACTTATTGCAGAGTATCTTGCAAGGTGTTGGAATACATGGTAGGTGTTCAAAAACTGATTAATTCTGCAAGTCTCTGTTTGGGGTTGAGGAATTGCATCTGGATTACTAAACAGAGACCATTACAAATGGCTGAGAAGGCTAGCTTCTTGGATGATAAGATCAAAATTCAAAACAACCTCAACAAGTTAAAGAAATGATCAAAAAACCCCAAACAAGCATAATATGGAGTTCAATGGAGTACAAAGAAGAAAAACAAGTTCTACAAAATCAAGTACAACAATATGCACTGGCACAAAAACAATGGGGAAAGCGGTAAGAGTCCTGGGAGTTACCAAGTAAACAATAAGCACCAAATAATTAGTTGAGCTCTACTGAAAGAAAATGTAATGAAATTCTGAAGTAAAATTCCTACTCTGCCTCTACCTACCAGACCCTGGGATAATATAATTTAGTTCTCCACGATTAATATTTGGAAGACTTCATTTCCAAAGGAGAAGAACAAAAACTTAGTAGGTCTAAAGAATGGAGCTTCTGGGGAAGAGCTTAAAGAAACAATGCAGTTTAATTTGAAGAAGGAAAATGACTGAAAGGTGGCTGTGCCTTCATGTATACAAAAGAATTTTTATCTAGAAAATACCTAGTATCATCATTACCAAGAGGAAATAAAATAGTTCCAATTCTGATAAAAAGGAGGAAGCCATCCTCTGGCAGACTTGTCAAAAGAAGAAATACAAGAATACTACACCAGAGGGCTAAACTACATACCTTCAGGAGGTCTCCAACAACTGCATACTCTACAATTTCAGCTCATTTCCTGAAATCCCTTTCCCACTCACTATTCCCAACCCTACTTCCCAATTTAGAATGGCATCCTATCTTCCCATATGAATCTACTCCTCACCGCTCCTTTGAAAAGGTCTGAGCTTCTCCTTTGGGTTCATCTGCTCCTGTGGTCCCAGGTCTGGGCTCCTTGCCCTCTCTTTCTTGGTTACACCCCTGGGCTGGGGTTCCACTGACTCCTGCCGAACACTTAATAACTCTCGTGATGATTTCAGGGGTGTCATCTTCTCCAAGCGCACTTCCTGCCCCTTCACAGAGACTGTGACCTAGAAACAACCCCCATTAATTGTCACTGCAAGGTTATGAGGGGCATTCCCAGAGGAGATTATTTAATACCCCAAAAGAGTTCATCCTTTTGGGACTTGGCTAGGTTTGGCAGGGGAGGAGGTTTAACAGTGAACAAGGGTCTTTCTTATTCCATTAGCTTAGAGCAGCTGGAACTCCAGAAAGAAAAGCTCAAGAAAGTAAACCCACCTACAAGCTAAAAAATAATTCCCCTTTCTTCCCTCTTAAGTAAAAAACTATAAAACTATGAATAACTCATTATGACAGGGTAGCAAAGGTACACCCAGGTAGCATCTCCAGATAAGCTCTATCTGAAAAAGTTACCTGTTCTGGGACCAGAAGTATAAGCATGACCAAAGGAGATTGTGCCCATCTTTAAACCTGTATATACCTTGGCCCTTTATCCTTGCCCCTTCCCAGTCACACACTTCTGAATTCCCCCTCCCTTCTCACCGAACGTCCAGGTCTTCCAGGCTCTCTTTCTAAATCTTCCACCAGAGCCACTGCCTCCTCTCCACTTTCTGGACATTGCTCCTGTACCCAATTCTGGATCTCCCCAGGTAAGATGGTCAGGAACTGCTCTAGCACCAACAATTCTACAATCTGCTCCTTGGTGCGAACCTCCGGCCTTAGCCAACGACAGCAAAGTTCCCAGAGTTGGCTGAAAGCCTCCCGGGGCCCAGCTACCTCCTGGTAGTGAAATCTCCTGAAGCGCTGTCGGAACGTCTCAGAGTTAGTGCCATTCCCTCTCAGAGTGGGTTTGGCCATCATTCACAGCAGAAAGCAGCTCCCCGCCACTTAAGGGTTCGAGGGCTTACACCTATTTTCCCATGTCCTTGGAGAGTCACCTGCAGATGAGTCTCTCAACTGTAAGAAGAGTTTCCTCCTAGGGTAGAGAGAGATGGCACTATGAGAAGAAATACACTCATGTCTAAAGTCTTGCCAAGAGCTGGCCTGACTTCCCATATACTCCACGTGGCCATCTGAGGTAGCACCAGCTTTAGGACAGCAAGCCAAAACAGCATGGAGAGACCTTTCAAAAGCTACCATTTCTGGGTGACTTCCAAGGAGCCCGGGGAAGCAGCAAAGAATAAAGTATGGTCTGCCCTTCTTCCACCTCCCCCCAAACCTGACCCCATTTAGCTCCCCTGACCAATGTTGCATAGTAAGTTCGAACCATATGGGAGACCTGGAGCTTGAGAGGCTCTAAAGGCAAGTCACCATCCTGCTGAAGGCAACAAAAAGCCTCTGTCCAGCGGGTCGCAGCCCACCTCCCCCAGTACCTCCGCAGTCGTTCCGGAGGCCCTTTACATCCTCCCCGCCCCCTCAGACTACACAACTACCAATTCCCACCCGGGACAAAAATCAAGTACTGAATACTGGATCTTTGTTTTCCCTCACAGCGTTAGTAACCGCTCAGCAACTATTCGGGAACTACTGACGGGAAACCTCGCGCATTGGGAGGATTGGTTTTGGTTCCTGAAGCGAGGGCCGGTGGGCGTGGGGAGTCACACTGAGTTGGTGGAGAGAGGGAGTCCGAGGGGGGCAGTAGTAATGGGTCTCCTGAGGACGAGTTCGGTTGCTGGCCAGGGGCTCCGGGTGCTGTGGGGTTCGCGGGAGCGGGACTCGGCTCAAGGAGCGGCGGGTGCGGGATTCCGGCCTCTTTGTCTTCCGTCCCTCTGGCCAGGTCACTCTCGGGGCCGTCGTGCGGTTCCTCCAGAGGCCTCCGACTGGGCTAAGGTGCCCTGAGAGCACCCTCCGGCCACCCCTGGGAGCGTCTCCTTCTCGAGGCTGCCCCTCAACCCACTCGCATCTCTGCCCCCGGGCCAGCCTCACTCTGTTAGGGTCGGGCCCCGGCCCCGGCTCTCCAGCCTCCCATTCCAGCTCTCAAACCGGAAGTCCTACCGGGCAACTCGGGCACTGAGAGCGCATGCGCAAGGGCAACTACGGAGACTCCTCCAGCAGAGCCTCGGCAGGAGCGACTGAGTGGGCCCAGCGGAGCCTGCCACACTTCCGGGACGTGGGGCGCCTATCCCGTAATATTTCCCCTCAGCTCTTCCAACAGCATTTGTCTTGCCACTTGGGATTCAGGACGAACCGCCTGTCCCAGGGGCTTGTGCGCTTCTCGAGGAGGCAGCATTCGCCTCCGCGGTCCCCTGGAGGGGCGTTGGAGGAGGGGGCGACGGATATAGGGACTCGCGGTCCGCTGTGGGAATGATCCACGAACTGCTCTTGGCCCTGAGCGGGTACCCAGGGTCCATTTTCACATGGAACAAGCGGAGTGGCCTCCAGGTACGGTCCAGCTCAGGGCGCGGGAACCCGGGAGCGCTGAATGGGCGGGCCTGCGCCAGTGTCCGGGGGAGGAGTCTGCGGGGTCGAAGGGCGGGGCTTGCAGGGGCTGAGGTGTTCGCGGGGCGAGTCCCTGGGCTGGTAACCCGGGAAGTGCCTGAGGGGCGTCGGCGCGCTATACCTCACCTCGAGAGGGCTGGGCCCGGGCCGGCAAACAGGAGGCGGACCCCGGAGGAGGGAGCACGCGCCGCGGCCTAAGGTTGAGGTGTCTAAGCGAGAGTTGCTGGGGAACTGGATGTAAAAGTGAAAAAGGCGCTTTCACCCATTTTCACGCTTGCACTGCTTTAAGGTGAGCTTTGAAAGCTAGTCCCAATACGTAGCGCTTAACGCACTATATGGGGTCGGCCAGTTTTGTTGACTGAAAAATGAAGGAGTGTTTCCCTCATTACTCCTTTCCCAGGAAATTTCTGCACTAGGAGAATTTGGAAGGCGATTTTCATATAACCAGGAATGTATGAGGAGGAAGGGCTAGGTACTGTATGCATTATCTCTTTTAATCTTCACAATTACCTATCTCCGTTTCACAGATTAACTCCCTGTATCTGGTAGCTAGTAATTAGTGAGCTTCGTCTTGAACCCCAGGTCCGCTTGGCTCCAGTATTTGAACCATTCTTTTCTACTTCTGCTTTCAGTAATATTATCCAATCCTCTCAATAACTTAGTAACCTAGGTATTGTTAGCCCCAGTTTACAAAAGAGTAAACTGAAGCTCAGAGAAATTTATGGTGACTAGTCCTGGTAATGGTAAGATTTGAATCTAGCTCTGTCTGATCACAAAGTCATGCCAATTCCAAACCAAGCAACAGATTCTTAATTATAGAGAACAAACTGATGGTTACCAGAGGAAAGGGGTGTGGGGGAATGGGTGAAATAGGTGATGGAGGTTAAGGAGTGCACTTATTGTGATGAGCACTGGGTGTTGTATGGAAGTGTTGAATCATTGTATTATACACCTGTGAAACTAGTGTTACACTATGTTAACTAACTGGAATTTAAGTGAAAACTTAAAAAAAAAGTCATGCCTATTCTATAAGGATTGGTGGTATAGGCTGTGGAAGAGCAGAAAAATGACATTCTTATTATATAAAACCTATACATCAGATTCCTCTCGTTATTTTCCCCTATAAAACTAGCACAATGGCAGGTATATAGAAGAAAATGCGAAGGAAGTATTTGTGGAAGCTTGACTTCTTAAGGTCTCAGCTTTAAAGTCACCTCAGAAAAAATTTTCTCTGACCATCTGTGTAAGGATCCTCACCGTATGCCATTATTCTCTATCACAGCAGCTTGTTTATCTCCCTTATAGGACTTAGCACAGTTCATATTATTTATTTTTGCTAACTGTTAATAGTCTTTCTCCATCATAGTTTGCCCATAGGGGCAAAGACTATAGTGGTTTTCTTCATCATTGTAGCCAGCACAGTTTCTGCCATATAGTAGGTGTTCAGATATTTATGGAAGGAAAAAAGGCTACTAAAAACAGAAAATATTGCATACTTTCTGCAGAGCAGTGTTTTTCACAATCAAATAAAGGGAAAATTGTAATGAATGCCTAATACTGATAAAAATCATTTTATTATAATATAGAATATATGTACACATTAACCTAAGTATAAACTCAAGCATATTGCTCTTAAAAAACTATAAAACCAAGTATTTGTTACAAAGTGAACAAAACTACCAAATGGATAAATTCAAAATAACATTAATATATGGTTTGACATTGGTCAACCTTGGCACTATTGACATTGTAGACTGGATGGATAATTCTGGGGGGTAGGGGTGTGTCCTGCTTATGCCTTGTAGGATGTTTAGCAGCATCCATGGCCTCTACCCACTAGATGTCAGTAGTACCCTCTGAATTGTGGCAATCAAAAATATCTCCATTTACCAAATGGGGCAAAATCGCCTCTGATTGAGAACCGGTGATTTAATGTGACATATACTATTGTTTTGCTGAAACAATACTGAGTTTATTAATATTATTAATATTAATATATATTATATATTAATATATAATATTAATATTAGTAATTAATATTAATATTGCTGAGTTTAATAATAGTATGGCTGCTACAGATCTCGATTTTGACTTCAGTAAGTCTGTGGTAAAGAATGCCTGTTCATATAAGTAGGTTGTACCAAATGGTATCAATAACTTCAAGGTATTGTTTGCTGTTTCAGAATAACTAGACCTTGAACTTTTATAAAACTGCCAACAAAGCACTGCTCAAAATTCCAATTTTAGTGGGACTATCACTTGATAACTGGGTAGAGCTGTCCTAATAATAAAAAATTGCTTTCATGTATTGAGCACTTGCAATGTGCATGGCTTTACATGTGTTAACATTTAATCCCCACAATTACCATCTCCACTTTCTAGGTATGAAAACTGAGGCACAGAGAGGTATTATAATTTGTCTAAGATTTCATGCAAGTAAGAGGCAACTCAGGGATTCAGACCTGGCAATCTGACTCCAAATATGAGTTCTTTCTTTTTTTTTTTCCAAAGGCACAGGCAAGGCTTTCCTGGGGCTACAGCTCCAGCTGAAGGGAGACACTGCACTAACAGAGTAATTAGGCTGGCCTCCCAAAGACACATTCTTAAGCACTGTGTCGTGTTACCTCTTAAATTATTATACTTGAAGATATGGTTAGCATTGTGTCATTAAAATCTGCATTAAATGGAATTAAAGTCCTAAACATTGTGGATTCAGTAACAGAAAAATTCTTCTTTTCCTATTTATTACTGCATTTACTGTCACGTAAAGTTGGCATCCACAAAATACAGTACTCATGATATAAATATGTAATATGCTAAGTTCCTTGGGGATAGTAACTACATCTGATTTTGTTCACTATTTAATCTCGGGATATTAACACAGTGCCTGGGATAAGTAGGTGTTCATTAGAAGACGGTTGATCCTCCAAAGAAGATATACAGTGGCCAATAAGTAAATGAAAAGATTATCAATATGGCTGATTATTAAGGAAATGCAGATCAAAAGCACAATGAGATACCATTTTATACCCATTAAATCAAAAAAACAAAATGACAAGTGTAGGTGAGGTCGTGGAGACATTAGAACCCTTGTGCATTACTGGTGGGAACGGAAAATGGTGCAGCCCCTGTAGAAAATAATATGGTGACTCCTCAAAAAAATTAAACATAGAACTACCAAATGATCCACAATTTCACTTCTAGGTATACACCCAAAAAAAGTTAAAGAAGAGACATGAACAGATATTTGTATACCCATGTTCATAGCAGTATTATTTGCTATAGTCAAAAGGTAAAAGTAATTCAAGCGTCCCTTGGCAAATGAATTGAATAAACAAAATGCTGCACAAACATACAATGGAATATTTTTCAGTCTTAAAAAGGAAGAAAATTCAAATGATACGTGCTACAACATGGAATAACCTTGGAGACACTATACTAAGTGAAAAAGCCAGTCATCAAAAGACAAATATTGTATTTACACTTATTTGAAGTACTTAGAATGGTCAAAATTATAGAGACAAGAAAGAGAAGGGTGGTCGCCAGGGGCTGGGGGCAGGGAGGAATGGGAAGTTAATGTTTAATGAATACAGGGTTTCAGTTTGGGAAGATAAAAAAATTCTGGAGATGGATGTTGGTGATGGATGCCCAACAGTGTGAGTGCACTTAATGCCACAGAACTGTACTTTTAAAGTTGGCCAAAATGGTAACTTTTATGTTATGTATATTTTACCACAATATAAAAAAAAAAATGTGGTTGAATGAGTACATTCTCCTACTACTGTGTTCTACTTGAACTGCTGTGAAACCTTTATATAGCATAGTAGGTTATTATTTGGCCTTCATTTCAATTAAAATAATACCCAATGAAATGAAATACCAAATACAAATGAAAATATGGACACTACATTTATATGTCAGTTATAAGGTGCTTTTATAGATTATAGTATGTTACATTAATTTTACATTTTTATTGAATGAAAATAAAATTTAAAATTTTATAGAGAATTTGTAAATCTTAAGAATATGAGAAACCCCTGGAGTCTGCAGATCCCGGTTTGGGCAGTATTGCTAAAGAGACTTTGTTGAAATCAGGTCAAAAACTTCATATCCTTACAGGCCATCCCTGGAAGATGGCCTAAGAAACAAGTAATAGTAGCCACCTGTGGGGAGGTTGACTTGTTTTTAATGTACAACATTTGGTAGTGTTTGAATTCTTTACCATGTGTTACCACCTATTTCAACAAACAACTAATTAGGTCAGGGATGGGGAGCAACACCTTTGTAGCAGTTTGGAATTACCAAGCTTAAATGGGTATCTTGAGAAGGGAAGTGATTCATAGTATAAAGCATTTGAAGCACCTCAAATATATGCAGGCATCAGTGTTTTTAGCCTGTTCCTCTTCCTGCAGGTGTCACAGGACTTCCCATTTCTCCATCCCAGTGAAACCAGCGTCCTGAATCGACTCTGCCGGCTGGGCACAGACTATATTCGCTTCACCGAGTTCATTGAACAGTACACGGGCCATGTGCAGCAACAGGTAGGCTGCTGTTCCCAGGGAATGGACACCTCCAGAGGTCAGAAGTTATGGCAGGTTTTAAGTGAATCCATTGGTAATTGATATGAAATAAGTCTCAAGATGTTATGAATTTCTTATCATTGGAATTATTCGAGTGAGGGCCAGGTAACTAGCTCAAACAAGGGAGAAAATATACACAGGGACCAATCTAGGCAGATTGGTAGAAGAGAAAATATGCTTTGCCTGAGTTTTAGGAGACCTGAGTTAAATCATTTGGAGCTGGACCAGAGTTCCAATTCCAGTGGTAAAAGCATAAAGCATCATTTCAGATATTTTTGCCATTTTGCTTCTAACTTCCTTAGTCACATGGAGGCAATCAACTAAAATCTTTGGGCTTCATTTTTCTTATTTGAAAATAAAAGAGTTAAATCAGAGAAGGTGCTTGGCACATAGCAAGCACTTAATAAATATTATCCATTAATATGAATTAATTGGAATTATACACTATTAATTGTAATTAATGGTGGAGAGGTCAAGGATTTGTGTCCTGCTCTATCACTTACTGGCCATAGACTGCTTGGCAGTAACCTAATGTTCAGTAACTTCGGCTCAGTTCATTTACCTATAAAACAGGGTTAATAGGTAGTACCTATCTCATAGGGTTGTGAGGATTAAACAAGGTAATTCATGCAAAGTGCCTGGCACATAGTAAGCACTCATATTTTTTAAAAGAGAAAATTTTAAAGTTCCCTTTTATTTTTAACAGTCTGGAATTCTGTCCGAGGTAAGTAAAAAGATTGCTGAATTGTGTGATTCTGATTCAGTGATGACTGTTGCCCAGTTGAAACAATGATTCTGGTTGGGGAGAAAGGCAGGAACTTCTAGAAAGGAAAAGGAAGGATTCCTGAAATAATGCAGTCAGTACCCTCTGTTATATAAATTGGTTGTCAGGCCTTTGGTGGTCATCTCTGGGGCAGAGGAGTTGGAGAATAATGCCTTATATTTTCCTCTCTGGGACAGGGATTCTGATTCTCTCAAAAGGATTTTATTGCAAATGTGTAAGCTAAATGTGAGTTTAAAATCTAATCAATGCCATTTTGCTATAAAATCATATTAATGAGGGCACATGAATTATCAGAGTTGGAACCATATATATATTTATAAAGATGATATATAGTTTTAATTTTTGTAAGTAACACTTAAAAAAAGCTGTCCTGTATTCCTGTGACTATATGGATTTTATCTTATATAATATGTGAATTCCTACTTTCCCAAATTCTAAAGATATCTATAGTGCCTCTTTTTTGAGAACAGTAAAAGCATACTTAATTTCTCTTTCATTTAGTGGTAATGAAGACATTCAGTTCTCTGAAATGACACAAGATCAAAACAAAATTGGCTGGTTGTAAGCCCATCTGGTCTATTTCACCCTACACCCATGCTGGTCTTATTATCATAGCTGTGAACCTTTATCTTCAGGAACTGCTAGTATCCTTTGCAGCATCTGACTAACCATGCCTCGTAACCACTGAGTCCAAGCTTCCTACCCCATTTGTTGTGGTATTCTGCGATTGTATCTACTGCCACCAGAGCCTGATCACCCAAGTCAAGACATAGCCAGAGAGGCTGGTCATCGTGGCCTCTAGTCAGCTTCCTCTGCAATTCCCGGTGTAAAATACAGAAGAGGCTCTTAGAAAAAATTGCAGGTCTCCTGAAATTTGTAAATAAGCTCTTGGTGAGAGTCTTATCACTCCTCATGTTGACTATCAGATTCATGCTTCTGATGAATTACCAGGCCAGACAAGAGAAAGGGATGTTAGAAGGAGGATTGAGGTCATTTTATTTATTCAGTAAATATTTACCCTGTGTTCAGAGAACTGTGTTAGAAGCTGAAATACAAAGATGAATAAATGTGTGTCCTGCCTTCACAAAGCTCTTGGTCTAGAGAGGGGGGTGTATAAACAAAAGTACAGTTCAAGCACTACATAGAGATGCTGTGAAAGCAACAAAGGGGGAGCAGTTCATTTCCTAGGGAGAGTTAGGAAGGGCTCTGAGAAAAGAGACGCTTAAATTGGGTCCTGTAGGAAGAGTAGGTATTTGTCATAAAGATGAGTACACAGTTATAAGTGGAACACATCCAGATTCATGGGGGTGAGAAATAGAAGCAAGGCACATTTGGCGAACTGTGGGTAGTTTGGAAATGAGAATGTGAAGTTGGAAGCAGTAAAAGATAATTTTAGAGAGATAGTTAAGGGCCCGAATGTAGAAGTCATTGTATGCCATGCAGAGGAGTTGAGATATTATTCTGGGGCAATGAGAAGCCACCAAAGGGATTTAAGCTGAAAGTTGTAAGGTTAGTTGTAGAAAAATCTCCACTGACAATATGAGGTACTACCTCATTGTATATTTTAGAGAGAGAGAGAAGGACAGAGAGAGAGAGAGAATCTTAAGGAGGCTCCATACTCAGTGCAGAGCCCAGTGTGGGGCTCCATCTCATGACTCTGAGATCATGACCGGAGCTGAAATCAAGAGTCAGATGCATAACCGACTGAGCCACCCAGGTGCCCCCTACCTGATTGTAACATCTAGGCTGCATGGGAAATTAAAATACCACATTTTAAAAGGTCAGAATTCAAAATCTGTCTCTCTAATTGGGTTTTCCTCTCATTGAAGCACTGCTTTGATATGGAATCATTTAAGCAAAAACAATAACACTAATAGAGGAGAATGTTTTCCTCAGGTTTTAGAATCTGAGCTGTGAGGTTGAGTTCTCTTTGTTTGATTTCAGGATCACCATCCATCTCAGCAGGGCCAAGGTGGGTTACATGGAATCTACCTAAGGGCCTTCTGCACAGGGCTGGATTCGGTTTTGCAACCTTATCGCCAAGCACTGCTTGATTTGGAACAAGAGGTGAGAGAGGAGATACGGGAAAGACGTCTCTGGGACAGCCGATTAGGGCATGTTCTTGAATTTGAAATACCCTTTGATGTGGTCAGGTAGTTAAGAGAGAGCTATTTTCTGCAAGGCTAAAGGGTACAGTATATTCTGTGATTGCCCAAATCATGGTCAAAGTGGCATGCAGATCATGGCAAAGGTTCTTGAGTGAGTTTATTAGAGCCCTAGCTTTGGGTTTTTTGGTCACCTGAAAAATCAGAATACTCTATGAACTATCAATTCTCAATAGTCTAAAACTAACATGGAGCCCCTTCTCAGATTCCCATCTAGTTTTCAGAGATCAAATAGATTCAAGATATTTTATATGGAGCCCTAATCACAGTGTTTTTTGTTGCAGTTCCTGGCTGACCCCCATCTTTCCATATCACATGTCAATTACTCCTTGGATCAGGTATGCTGCCCAAATAATAAAATGCCTTGGAATCTGTTGATATTGTTAGAATAATCTAACTTAAGGGGTGCCCGGCTGGCTCAGTCAGAGCATGTGACTGTTGATACCAGGGTTGTGAGTTTGAGCCCCACGTTGGGTAGAGAGATTACTTAAAAATAAAAAATCTTTTAAAAAAAATGAGAAATTAAAAAAAAAAAAAGAGGGGCACCTGGGTGGTTCAGTTGGTTAAGCATCTGACTCTTGATTTTGACTCAGGTCATGATCTCAGGGTCTGTGAGATCAAGCCCTGCATCAGGCTCTGCGCTGGGCATGCAGCCTGCTTAGGATTCTCTTTCTTTCTCCCTCTGCCCAACCCCCCGAAAAAAATTTAAAAATTAAAATTAAATCTATTAAAAAAAAAGAACAATCTAACTTAAGACATTATTTTTGAGAACATTTTTCCTTCTGGATTCAGAGCCCAGCATTTTATATTGTGTATGCTTTCCAAGATCAGAACTGTTTAGAAAGCTCCAAATTTAGTGAAAATCTAATGTCTGATATTAATGCTCTTATGTTGACTTCAATATTAACAATTATGCTAGTCTCAGAAATAGAAACTGCTTATATCTGTCATTCTCTCTCTGCAGCCAAACCCATATCAAATTGCCTTAGGATACTGGATCTTGGCTGTTCTGTGGTATTGCCATCTTTGGGTTAAGTGGGATTATTTAGAAACAAAAGCATTTCCTGAATCAATTTTCTTTTCCTTGTGTTTGATTTTGTACCCTCCTAATCATTCTCTGATTTTTGCAGTTCCAGCTCCTTTTTCCCTCTGTAATGGTTGTGGTAGAACAAATTAAAAGTCAAAAGGTGAGAACTTTCCTTTTTTCCTTTGCTGTGGTAAGCACCAAGGATGTATTCATAATTAATTTTGCCTTACATTCTTTTTTGAAGACCCTAGTTTTTAGTAGTTGTCATTTATTTATTCATTCTTTTAAAAATATTTGCTTGGGTATCATGCTAAATGTCAGAAATGCAAAAATCAGTTACAAGACTGCCCTTAAGAACCTCCTGATCCAGAGGTGGGGGTAATGTTAATAGATGTACCCCAGAATGCTGCTGGGTAAGAGCAAAATGCTATGGATGGTATCTGGAGGTGAGAGCATTTTACACTAAGGATTTAGAATTTTTGGATATGGGGGCACCTGGCTGGCTTAGTCAGTTAAGCGTCTGCCTTCAGCTCAGGTCAGGATCTCAGGGTCCTGAGATCAAGCCCCATGTCATGCTCCCCACTCAGCGGGGAGTCTCCTTCTCCCTCTCCTTTTGCCCCTCCCTCTGGCTCATGCTCTCTCTCTCTCGAATAAATAAAATCTTAAAAAAAAAAAAAATGTTGGATATGGATCTTGAGGAGAAGTGGAAAGTTCATCTTTAGAAAGAATAATAGATTTATGATTAGGATGCTGGCAGTTTTCTAAGAATTAGATCATGGGTTGAAACACAGATGCTTATTTTATTAAATATGCCTGTTCTTATCACAAGTTTTTATCATGTGCATTGAAAAATGAGGGTCCCCAAAACCAGGAGAATGCCTTTTCTGGGCAGAGGTAATAACCAAGGAAAAAATGCTTTGAGATTTCACATTAGAAGAATCTGCTAGTCCATAACTGGATGAAAAAGGACAAATGGATTAAATATGTTTAGCTCATTTATGTTTTTAAGCTGTTATATTTGTGCCTTAGCTTATTAGGAGTGTTTACCTTGATAAATAATAACTAGTTAACCAGTTTTGCCAGGTTGCTGCTTCATTTTTTGTGCTGTGTAAGTATAGAAATTTCTGCTGTGCTGAGTTTATTCTGAGCCAGCAAAGCCAGTAGGGGAGGTGCTGTTTGGCTCTTGAAAGCTGATTACCCTCATCAGATAACACTCAGCTTTTATTATGTACTTACTGTATACCAGGCACTGTGCTAAGTGCTTCACATACTTGATCCCTTTCAGTCCTCTAGGGGGTCAAGTAGGTTAGGTAATGTGCTTAGTGTCACACAGATGGAGATGGTAGAGCTGGGATCTAAACCCGGGTCTGTCTGACTCAAAAGATTATGCTCTTAACCACACTACTAAACTGTCCCCCCAAGTTGGAGGGGACCTTCTAGGTAAGTAGAGTTAGTATAAGCGTTCCATGCTAAGCTGCATATCTCAGTTGACTTTCAGTTTGCATTGACCACAGGAAGAGTAGAAACTGAGTAAAGCGGTTGCAGGTGGGCAAATCTTCCTCCTTGCCCGGGTAGTGGTAGAGAAGCCAGTGTGCTCTGGCTCTAGAGAGTTAAAAAATGAGGTCTCAAGAACATGGGGTGGGGGCGGGAGAACAGGGATGAGAGCCAACAGATACGAGGGATCCTTTTAGAGTGATGGAAATGTTATAGAACTAGATTACAGCAATAGTTGCACAACACTGTAAATTTACTAAAAATTGTTGAACAGTATACTTAAAATGGATGAATTTTATGGTATATAAATTATACCTCAGTAAAGCAGTTTTAAAAAGAGAGAGAGCCTGAAGGACATAGAAGGAGGAAACAGATTTTTGGAAAACTGTATGCCTTATAAATAGTTTGAATTAGGCCTTAATCTGAAATAAAGAGCTTTCTTTACCTCTTAGCTTGGAATTTCAACTCTAAATGATTCTGGTTTCTCTAGCGCAGTAGTTCTCAAACTTCGTCGTACATTAGAATCACTTGGAGCGGAATGTTAAAACCACGTGGCTGGGCCCTACCCGAGAGATGCTGATTCAGTAAGGCTGGGGTTGGGCCCAACAGTTTGCATTTCTTACTCACTCCCAGGTGCTGCTGCTGCTGCTGCTGGTGGGCTATCGGTGGGGTGGAGAGGAGTAAGGAGGGTTGAGGGTCCATACTGTTGAGAACAACCATTGTGATATCGTGATCTATAATAAGAAATATATATTTGGTCTTTATCCCCTTTCTGACACAGAGCTTCTAAAACTCTTGGAATTTCATAAGTGATAATGATAAACGTGTCTTGATAGTCATAACAAACCCCTATCAACCACACCTGAGTCTGTGTTAATGAAGTGGCTTTTGGAAAGCACCTAAGGATGGGCTGGTTGCCAGGAGAACCGACCATTTGATTGGAGGGTTGAGACTTTCATACCCCTGACCTCTGGGGAGGAGAAAGGGGCTAGAGATTGAGTTCAGTTGCCAATAGCCAGTGATTTAATCACTTGTGCGTATGTAATGAAACCTCCATAAAAACCCAGAAAGACTGCTTTCAGAGAACTTGTAGGTTGATGAACCAGAATACTTCTTCGTGCTATGCTGCTGGGCCCACACTCCACGGGGACAGAAGCTCCTTTGTTTGGGACCTCACACTATGCATCTCTTCATCTGACTGTTGATTCATATCTTTAGTATGCTTTTTAATAAACAGGTAATCTAGTGAGTAAACGGGTTTTCTGAGTTCTGTGAGCTGTGTTAGCAAATTAATGGAATCCAAGGAGAGGGTCATGGGAACTTCTGATTTATCAGCCAGTCAGTCCTGGGCTTGAGATTGGTGTCAGAAGCAGAGGACAGTCTTGTGGGACTGACCCCTTAACTTGTGGAATCTGATGATATTCTGGGTAGGTAGTGTCAATTGAGTTGACTTGTAGGACACCCAGCTGCTGTTCGAGAATTGCTTGGTGTTGTGGGGGAAACCGCCCCCCAAACACATTGGAATTGGAGTCAGAATCAGAACTATACATAGATCTTTATCCCCATCATCCGCTGGATTGTGCCCTCTGAATTAAATATAGAATATGAGTTTGTGCTACATGAACTATTAAAATGGAATCAAGTTTGACAAGGCTGTATTTTGCGCAGATTCATGGTTGTCAAATCCTGGAAACGGTATACAAACACAGCTGTGGAGGTTTGCCTCCTGTTCGCAGTGCACTAGAAAAGTAAGTCCTGGCTTAATTGGGAATTGGGGGAAGGGGTGGGTGATCAAGTGGCTTGACTTTGCACTTGTTTTATTTTCAGCTCATCTCAGATTTCCCTCTGGGAAAAGTTATGACCAGGATAGAAAAGATCCATAAAAGCCCGCATGTATGATAGTTCAGAAACTGCAAAAAGAGTGTTACGAAGTGTTGAGTATCAAAGCTAGGATCTAGTCGCCTAGATAACCTTGAAGCAATGCTTTTTAATTTGGGGATCTCATTATCCTTGGAGGATTTCCATTACATGTGCCGGATAAAGTAACTATATCTAATCATGTGTATTTTGAGTAGCTGGTATTTCATATCAAGTTATTTGAAAGAAGTTATTTGAAAGAAGAAAATAACCATATGCAGGAACATTCATTGCAATGTTTTCTGTTATATCAGGAAATTAGAAAATTACCAGCAGCGGAAGAAAGCTAAATACAGGTGTATTCACTTGATTGTCTATAAATGTAAAAATAAAATTAAATATATTATAAATATAAATACTGTTAGAATCCACAAAAGGAAACTTTCCAGAACATGCTTAAGGAACTTAATTCTCTATTACTGGGCTTTTTTTTTTCCTAATAAAAGAACTGTATTTTGATTGTAGAAAATACAGACCTGCAAAGAGAAGAAATAGAAATATTTTCTAATCTTTGAGATACACAATTTAACTTTTGCTGTATATTTCTATATAAATATACACAATTTTGTGCATGGAATATAAAATCTTACATAGATCATACGATAAGTGCATGTTTGTTATATATTTGCGGGGACCAAACTTTGTAGACCAAATACTCAAATGTGCAAAATGTAAATGGCCCCCCATTTGATATTTTTTAACATTTGACCACATTTTTCTTTTTCCCCTCTATATGGACTATGAAATACATACATGTAAATATATATAAATATACACACACGCATACTACATTTTTTTTGCTGAATCATTTGAAAAGCTTAACTACCAAAGACTTCAGTTTTGTATCTCTTTAGAAAAAAGGCTTATAGGGGCGCCTGGGTGGCTCAGTCGTTAAGCGTCTGCCTTCGGCTCAGGTCATGATCCCAGGGTCCTGGGATCAAGCCCTGCATCGGGCTCCCTGCTTCGCGGGAAGCCTGCTTCTCCCTCTCCCACTCCCCCTGCTTGTGTTCCCTCTCTTGCTGTGTCTCTCTCTGTCAAATAAATAAATAAAATCTTTATAAAACAAAAAACATAACTCCCATTTAAAAAAAAGAAAAAAGGCTTATATAACCTCAATTCTCTTATATAACTTCAAAACCATATTACACCCAAAAAAGTTAACATTAATTCAATAGTATATTATCCAAAATAAATCTGAATTTCTCCAGTTGTCCCCCAGAAGTCCTTTTCCATTGTTCTTTTTTGAACTCCCGGATGCAGTCCGAGTTCTCATGTGGCATTTAGCAGTCACCTCTTTGAGTCCCCCTAATTTGGAACAGTGCCCTTCCTTGCCTTTTTAATCTTTGATGACAACTGACATTTTAAGAGTCTTGACCAGTTGTCTTGTAAACTGTTACACGACCTGGATTTTTTTTATTATTTCCTGATGATTAGATTTACGTAAAACATTTTTGGCAAGAACACTACATACCATAGGCCGTATTATTTCTTGTTGCATCACATTGGAAGGCACAGAAAGTAAGTGTGTTCCATTATGGGTGGTGTAATAGCTTGATCACTTGGCGTAGGTGTTTTCTATCAGATAGCTCCATTTTAAAGGCACATTTTCCTCTTTGTAATTAATGTTATCTGGGAAGTGATCCTTTGAGACCATGAGAGTATCGCATTCTCCAACGACCTTTCTACATTTTGTTGGATTATACTTCTTCAGGTATACTTGTCTCTCACAGAGTGAATCTACTCTCCCTATGTGATTCCAACAAAAATAAAACAAATTTAATACTGTGTTAGCCAGAAAGACTCCTAGAAGTGCATTTAATTTTAACAAGAACCCTCAGTTTTGAAACTCTACACAAAAGGAGGAAAGAAAATGTGCCTCTTCTAAAAAACTAGCAGAACGTTTACTGAGCATTTAGACTTCAGTATGTAGCCTACAAGTTTGGAAATTTAATCACTTAGTTCATTCACAAACATTTAAATTAAAACAGCACAATTATTTTTAGCCTAATTGGTCATTTCCCTTCTGAGTCATCAGACTCTCAGGCTTCTGTTTATCCTGTCACAGTTTAGAGCACGGCCTCTGTGCCCATATGGGGTTTAATGTTCGTTAAGTGGACTTCTAAGGCTCCTACTTTTCTCTCCACTCAGGATCCTGGCCGTGTGTCATGGGGTCATGTATAAGCAGCTCTCAGCCTGGATGCTACATGGACTCCTCCTGGACCAGCACGAAGAGTTCTTTATCAAACAGGGTCCCTCTTCCGGTAATGTCAGTGCCCAGCCAGAAGAGGATGAGGAGGATCTGGGCATCGGGGGACTGACAGGAAAACAGTTGAGAGAACTCCAGGACTTGGTGAGAGCATAGCAGAAAGCCTAGCGTACTCCTGCCAGGAGTCAGGAAAGTCTATAGCTAGTTGACCTTTCAGTGATTTCCACCCCAGTTCCCAGCTCGTCATAGTTGAAGCATCTTTCACAAATTCTGCAGATATAAACACTTGAACTTGGTTTTATCTTAGCTGCATTCTTAACACCTAACTTAATGTGAGACTACAAAATAGAAAATATATTTGTGAGAGTCCTTTGTTTCCCCTTTTCCCAGTATATGCATTTATGAGATTAATAAGTCTTGTCTCTTAAGGTAGCCATGTAGCTATCCTATAACTTTTAAATGTAGCTTGGAGTTTCGATTAGAGTCCCCAGAGCCCTGTATTGTCTTTATTCATCCATTGATCGGTTTATTCATTCATTTGTCCTGCTACAACATTTTCTTGAACGCCTGTTACATATATGCCAGGCACTGTTCTAGGAGAGTTACTGGGTGCTTAACTGAAGTAAATGAATAAAATGTAGCAGACCCTGTCCTTAAAGAACTTATTGTTTAATGGAAAATGTAGAAAAGTCAACAGTGACATTAGTAAGTATGGGTGTTCTCAGAACTTGGTTTTAGAGTAGCTAGAGAAGCTTTTCAGTGGAATGTACGTCTAAAGTGCAGAGTTTAGGAGGAGAGATCAAGAAATGTTCCAGGCAGGGGGAAGGATGTGTACAAAGTACAGAAACCATGAAAGACATGGCTTACTTGAGGAACCAGTAGTAATTCAGTTGAAATGGTCAAGTAAAGGCTGAAATACAAATTGCAAGGACAGTGGAGGGGATTGGGAAGTCGCAGCCAATGGAACTATTGAGGTAAGATCATGAAAGCCCTTGTAAACAATGGGAAGGAACTTGGATTTGAACCTTAAAAGAGCTGAGAGCCAGTGAAAAATTTTAGGCAAGAGGTTCACACAATCAGACTTTACGATAGATGACTCTGGATAATGTGTGGGTAAATTGTTTTTAAAAAAAACTAAGACTAGCAGCAGGTAGGTCAGTTAAGAGAATGTTGGGGACACTTAGGTGAAAAATAATGGTAGCCTAAACCAAGGGTGGTGACAGTAAATATGCAGAAGAATAGAGTGGCTTGAGAGAGATTTAGGACGTGGACTAGGTAGGCCTTAGTGATTAGATAGGAGTCCAGAGGGAAGAATCAAGAATGTAACCCAAGTTTCTGCCTTCAGCGGCTAGGTGGGTAGAAATGATATGGAATGTGTATGGCAGGTATTGGGAGAAAGAAGATGGATCTAATTTTGGACATGTTGAGGGGTTAAACGTCTGATTCTTGATATCAGCTGAGGTCTTGATCTCAGGGTCATAAGTTCAAACCCTGCATTGGGCTCCACCCTGGGTGTGGAGTCTACCTAAAAAAAAAAAAATTAATTTTGGACATGTTGAGTTTGAGGTACTTGCAAGAAATGTCCAGTGGGTTGAGCTTATAGCTCACAAGAACAGTCCAGCTTGAAGATAAAGTTTAAGAAGTCATCAGCATATAGCAGTTTTTAACCTGGGGCCCATGGGTGGCTTCAGGAGGTTCTGTGAAATGTATGTTTGTATATTTGTCTGGAAGGTCCATAGCTTTTATATAATGGCAGAGAGTCCTGTGATATAAAAAGATTTAGAACACCTGTTACAATATTCAGTGATGGAAGAAGATATGATTGTTTAAGAAGAGTGAGGAGAGGGAAAAGAAAAGCGGGTCTGGGTATTGCCCTGAGGACCGCCTGCATTAGAGCACAAAACAGAAAGCGTGAACAGCAGAGCTCAAAGTTAGGATTGTGGAGCCCAGAGTTCCTGGTTGGAGCTGGAGGTTAAGGGTTAAATCCAAAGCAAGTTGGAGAAATGTGAGGGCCTGAGTGATTGGGTGGTGAGCATCTGGGGCTTCATGGGCCAGATCAGTGGTTCTCAAACTTCCACGTGTGTCAGAATCAGCTGGAGAGCTTGTTAAGACACGGATGGATGTCTGGGCCTCATCTCCCAGGTTGTCCTATATCTGGGGAGGGGCTTGAAAATTTGCATTTCTAACAAGCTTCCAAGTGAGGCTGATGCTGCTGGTCCATGAGCCATACTGAGAACCACTTGGCTAAATGACTTGGGCTATGTACTAGTAAAGAGCTGGGCAGAGCCAGCGTATATGATGAGATAATAAAGTCACAGACCTGTAGACCTGGAAAAAATAAAGACTAATTCTTCCATGCTGCAGGTAAGGAAACCGGGTTCCCGATCTGCACAAATTCTTACGTAGTAAAGGCAGAGTGAGGACTAAAATCCTAATGTTAAAAAAAAACCTCAGTTGGTCCGAGGGTTGTGGGTTATTGTTAAGCTGTTAAAAAAAAAACCTCACAACACTGTTACTTCCACCATGCTGTCCCGCTGTCTGAAAATGGAAATATGTTCATCTCTCTGACACTGGTAATTTAGGCATTGTGCAACTTCAGGTTTAAAGTCCCTGCTTCAGGGCGCCTGGGTGGCTCAGTTGGTTAAGCATCCAACTCCTGATTTCGGCTGAGGTTGTGATCTCAGGGTGGTGAGATCAAGCACCATGTACAGCTCTGCGCTCAGCATGGAGTCTGCTTGAGATGCTCTCTGTCGAACTCTGTTTCTCCCCCACTTGCACGCGCTCTCTCTCTATAATAAATAAATTTTTAAAAAAGTAAAGTCCCTACCTCTAGAAAATATAAATCATGGGTTGGGAGAATTAGTGATGTTTTTTGCTTTCTGCTTCTTCCTTCATACATCATGTCTGATGCGGATTATTTCCTTGAGTAGCGCCTGATAGAGGAAGAGAACATGCTGGCACCGTCTCTAAAGCAGTTTTCCTTACGAGTGGAAATTTTGCCATCCTACATTCCAGTGAGGGTTGCTGAAAAAATTCTGTTTGTCGGAGAATCTGTCCAGATGTTTGAGAATCAAAATGTAAACCTGACTAGGAAAGGTGAGAACCTCCTTGCCCAGTGTGCCCTGTCTTCAAAAGCCCTTTTTAATATCGCGTGGCCCCAGTGTACACCTGGTCCGAGGGAGTGGCTAATAAGATTGATGCACTGAGATTGCAGCACAACCATGACACGCTTATGTGAGAAGCAGGGGAAGGAGCTGCACCACGGGGACTAGAAATCCTTGCCTGTCCTGCTCTGCTCTTCCTTTGATGGTGCCTGCCTGTTTTGCAGGATCCATTTTGAAGAACCAGGAGGACACTTTTGCCGCAGAGCTACATCGGCTCAAACAGCAGCCGCTCTTCAGCCTCGTGGATTTCGAGCAGGTGGTGGATCGTATTCGCAGTACCGTGGCCGAGGTTTGTATGTCACAGTCGGCTTTCTTAGCAAGAAAACAGACTAGTTCCCCAGAAATTGAGTACTTGACTTCCGTTGCTTCTTTATGTGGTTAGAACTTAGCTTGGAGGGAATTGTGAGAGTCAAAGGGCAAGAAGTTTTTCATAATAGAGGCGGAACTGCTTTAGTCTTCACACCTGACAGGAGTTTGCTAGCTAGCTACTTGAATAAAGGGAGGTCTCACTTTCAAATTCAGACAGTCATCATTTTGAATCTGTCAATGTAGTTGGCAATAATTGCAAGGAATCAACGGATTTTGACTATAAATTTAGCGCCTTATATTTTAGATGGCTTTATTCCTTTTTCATTTATGGGTATAATAACCCTATGAGGAACACAGAACAAGTATTATTTTTCCATTTTTACAAATGAATAAAATAGAAAGCTAATTTGGCTGCTGTTGCACAGTAAGTAACAAAGGTGACGTCAGAACAGGTCTTATAACTCCTAGTTCAGTGTTCTTTTTTTTTAAGAGATTTATTTACTTAGAGCGAGCACGAGCAGGGGGACAGAGGGAGAGGAAGACAAGCACAGTCCCCACTGAGCAGGGAACCTGATGCAGGGCTCAGTCCCAGGACCTTTGAGATCATGACCTGAGCCAAAATCAAGAATCAGAGGCTTAACTGACCCAGGCGCCCCCTAGTTCAGTGTTCTTAAGTGAATTGTGCTTCATCCACCAACTTAGATTGTGACCAGTGATTTTTCAGATGTGTATCTGTGCTGTGGCTTAAAATAAAATTTGGCTCACAGGTGTCTGATAATGTGAAATGAGATTTTTAGTTTAGTCAGTTGTTTTGTTTACTGTATTAGTGGTTTTCAACTTTGGCTGTGCATAGCATTGCTTCGGAAAATCTTAAAACATGCACTTGTAGGGGTGCCTGGGCGGCTCAGTCATTAAGCGTCTGCCTTCGGCTCAGGTCATGATCCCAGGGTTCTGGGATCGAGCCCTGCATCGGGCTCCCTGCTCAGCAGGAAGCCTGCTTCTCCCTCTGACCCTCCCCCTGCTTGTGTTCCTTCTCTCGCTTCATCTCTCTCTGTCAAATAAATAAATCTTTAAAAACAAAACAAAAAAAACCATGCACTTGTATAAGTCCTCACCTCCAGAGCTGCTGACTGGTAGATCTACATCAGGAGAGAGGGAGTAGGTACTTGTATTTACACCATCCAACTAGACAACCAGCAAACAAACCACTGCAAGTGATTTTGAAGCATACCCAGTGCACTGCAGGATCTAGAACTGCTAGGAAGCTTAGTATCAGATACCCTCACAATGGAAGCATAGTAATCTGTTGTGAATATGATTTCCTTTTCCAGTCACTGTCTCAAAAATTGTAGGCATGGCAGATAGCTGTAATGGAGACAGAATATTAGATCATAAGGTGACATTCATTTGATTTTTTATGGGCAAGTAAATATTTAAACTCTCTAGAATACATGCTTTTGTCCTGTCATAATTTCAAGATCCTGCCCCTCCGCCTATAGCCAAGGCAGCCCTTGTCTAGGGGGCTGGTGTCTTGAGGTCCTTTCATCTTATTTTATTAAATCTGTTTCTGTTCTTTTATTATTCTTGTGATAACTCTGGAGTTAATTCATGGAGGAAAGTAAAAATCTTATTGAATTTATACAAGATTTCAAATTTTTTTTTCTTGTGAAATTCTGAAATGTGGATATTGGTAGAAATTACATTTCCAGTTTGTAAAAATGATAGATAAAGAATGGAAGTTCAGACTCACTGAAGTTTTTTACAATTGTAGCTAATAGGCCTTTTTTAAAGGTATTCTCTTAAAATAACAATTTCTAGTAATGAAAATAGAGTTTACTTTTCAGAAGGAAAAAGGGGGGAGTGTCTTGGAAATATATCATACTCCTCCCCTTTTGGTTTTCTCTTTCTCTATTTTTTTAAGTATACATACTATATGAATTTATATAAAGTTCAAAAACAGTTAATATAAAGTTTAATATAAAAGTTCAAATGCAGGGGCACCTGGGTGGGGCACAGTCAGTTAAGCATCTACCTCTTGATTTCAGCTCAGGTCGTGATCTCAGTGTCGTGAGATTGAGCCCTACATTGGGCTCTGAGCTGGGCATGGAGCCTGCTTAAGATTCTTTCTCTCCCTCTCCCTTAGCCCCTTCCCCACCTGACTCTCTCTCTCTCCAAAAAAAAAAAAAAAAAGTTCAAATGCAGAACTAATCTGGTGTTATGTCAGGATAGTATTTGACCTTGGTCAATGGGAAGGACAGGAAGAGGGCTTTCAAGGTGCTGGTTATACAAGTGTATTCAATTTGTGAAAATTCTCCAAGCTGTAAACTTATTATTTGTGTACTTTTCTGTATATTTTTTAGTACTTAAAAGATTTTGAAAATTAATTCCTAGATATTTGTTATTTTGATTTTTTTGTTGTTGGTTACTGTTTTTATGTAGAGAAATGGCAGTATTAATTTTTGTGGGTTAATTTTTTTTAAGATTTTATTTATTTATTTGACAGAGAGAGACAGCGAGAGAGGGAACACAGCAGGGGGAGTGAGAAAGGAAGGAGCAGACTTCCTGCTGAGCAGGGAGCCCGATGAGGGGCTCAATCCCAGGACCCTGGGATCATGACCTGAGCCGAAGGCAGACGCTTAACGACTGAGCCACCCAGGCGCCCCCCTTTTTTTTAGTTCTAATAGTTTGTTGATTCTGTTGATTTTTCTAAGTAATGATCATATCATTTGGAAATAATGAGTTTTACAACTTCCAATTTTAGACTTCTTTTTTTTTTTTTCTTACAGTCTTGGATCTCTAATACTACATTAAACAGCTGGAGTGATAGTTGATATAAACCATGTTAACCACTGGAGGCGATAGTGGGCATTTTTGCTTTGTTGGCTCTTAAAGATCATGCATTGACAGTTTCTCTATTACTCTAATGTTTGCTGTAGGCTTTTGGCAACATAAGTTTATCAGGTTAAAAAAGTTATCTTCTTTCTAGTTTGCTATGTGTTTTTATCATAAATAGATGTTGAATTTTATCAACTGCTTTTTCTATATCGATGATGGTGCAGTTTCTTGCTCTGGGTTCTTTTTCTCCTTCAATCTACTCATAGGGTAAATTCCCGGTTAGATTTTCAGATGTTGAATCTTCCTGAGATAAACTGTACTTGAAAACATGAGATTGTATTTTTTAATACACTGTTGGATTTGGTTAGCCAGTATAATACTTGGAATTTTTGCATCTACATTTACTAGTGAAATTAGATGATTCTGGTTTTATTCCCATGTGGTTGCAGAACAAAGACTGTATAAGCCTCATAAAATGAGCTAGGTATCTATCACTTTTGTTTTTTCTAGAATAATTAAGATAGGAGTTGTTACTGGAAGTCTTATTGAATTTACCTGAAAAATTATCTAAGCTAGGTTGTTTAAGACGGGGAAATCTTGGGAGAGCCTGGGTGGCTCAGTGGATTAAGCATCTGACTCTTGATTTTGTTTCAGATCATGATCTCCGGGTCTGGGGATAGAGCCCCACATGGGGCTCCACGCTCATCAGGGAGTCTGCTTGAGGATTTCTATTCCTTTTCCCTCTGCCCCTCCGCCCACATGTGTCCTCTCTCTCTCTCTCTCAAATAAATAAATCTTTTAAAAAAGGAGGGGGGGGGAGGAAAATCTTTACCAATTCAGTGTGTTTAAACCTATGTTAGTCTGTTCAAGACCTTTATTTCTTGTACCAATTTTGATATTTTCTACTTTTTCAGGAAGGCCCATTTCATCTAGATTTAATTTTTTAGAAAATCTGTAGCTATTTGTTTTACTTTGTATTTTATTTTAATCTTTTACTGTTGAATCTTACTAATCTTTTTGAAGAACCGGCTTGTGTTTTTATTACCCTATTTTTTCTTTATCTCATTGATATCTGCCTTTATTATTTTTCTTCCTTCTTGTTTCTTTGAGTTTTCTGTTACTCTTTGCCAGTTTCCTAGGTTGAAAACTTGACTTTTCTATTTGTAACCTTTGCTTCCTAGGAAATATATATAAAACTTTCCATATTGCTTTGACCTTGCCCTACAAGTTTTTAGCATGGAGTATATATATTATCATCCTGTTCTTAAATAATTTTTTATTTTCTTTCTGATTTTCTTTTTAACCCCAGGGATTTATTTTTAATTTTGATTGCAGTATAGTTGGAAAACACAGTCTGTAGATAGGTCCTTTGGAGTTGATTGAGGCTTCCATTATGGATTAATGTAGGGCCTGTTTCTTGTTTTTTAGTTCTGCCTGTGCTCAGAGAGTATATATTCTGTGAGTCTAGAGTTCTATGCATGTTCTAATATCTCATTTCCAAGCTGTATGTTAGGCATGTGCATATTTGTAATGAATATATATTTATTGTTTTCCTTTTATGTATATATAATGTCCTCTTTATCACTTATGATATATATTCATTTCTATATTATATATATATATATATATTTTTTTTTTTTACTTAAAATCTATTTTCTTAGTTAATGTCATTACCCACCTTTCTTCCAGGTCATTATTTACCTCATATCTTCTTCCATCCTTTATTTTCAACGCTTTTTACCTCTGTGCCCCCAAGCAACCACTGATCTGCTTTCTGTCACTAGAGATTAGTTTGCATTTTCTAGAATTTATATAAATGGACTCAAACAGTATGTACTCTTTTGGGGGAGGAGATGGGTCAGGCTGCTTTTCCTCATGGTTATTTTGAGGTTAATCCATGTTGCATGTATCAATAGTTTATTCCTTTTTTTAAGCTTGCACAAAATGTTCCTATAACCATCATTAATATCACTATTTTAAACATTTCTCTAAATGCATTGCTGAATGGCAAACATATCCCTGCACTTGAGCACTCATTTCATAGCAATTAGGTACTACTTTTATAAATACCATTATTACAAGTGTTTATAAACACTTCTCTAAATGCATCATAGAAGAGCTAGCACACCCATTCCCTGAAATAACTCTTCTCAAAGTATCCTGAACATATAATTTTTTTTAAACTTTGTTTTATTGAGGATCTTTATTACATGTTTTCATTTTTTATTTTTCACCGTTAATACATGTGCTTTTATTTTTTTAATCAAAATGTATTTGATATATAACATTGTATAAATTTAAGGTATTACATACAGCATGTTGATTTGACACATTTATGTATTCTAATAAGATTTTCATTGTAGGGATAGTTAGCACCTCTGTTATAGCACATAACTATCATTTCTTTTTTGTGGTGGGAATAATTAAGATCTAGTCTCTTAGCAAATTTGATTATAGTACAACTTTGTTGTCCATATTCACTATACCATGACTTAGATCTCCAGGACTGACTGACATACTAGTTGCAAGTTTGTACCCTTCAAAAGCATCTCCCTATCCCCCTACCCTGCAGCCCCTGGTAACCACCATTTTACTCTGTTTTTATGAGTTTGGCTTTTTTGGACTCCACATATAAATGCTATCATGCAGTATTTCTTTCTCTGATGTATCTCAGTATACTATGCTCAAGGTCCATCCATGTTGTCACAAGTGGCAGAATTTCCTTCTTTTTCATGACTGAAATATATTTCATTATATATCACATCTTATCTGTTCATTCATCATGGACACTTAGTTGTTTCCATATCTTGGCTATTGTGAATAATGCTGCAGTAAACGTGGGAGTGTACGTATCTCTTTGATAATCCTGTTTTGTTTCCTTTGTGTATATACCCAGAAGTAGAATTCTGGATCATATGGTAGTTCAATTTTTAATTTTTCAGGAACCTCCATACTGTTTTCCATAGTGGCTGAACCAATTTACATTCCAACCAACAGAGCACAAGGGTTACTTTGTTCCACATCCTCACCAACAACTTGTTACCTCTTCTTTTTTTTTTTTAAAGATTTTATTTATTTGAGACAGAGAGAATGAGAGACAGAGAGCATGAGAGGGAGGAGGGTCAGAGGGCGAAGCAGACTCCCCGCCGAGCAGGGAGCCCGATGCGGGACTCCATCCCGGGACTCGATCCCGGGACTCCAGGATCATGACCTGAGCCGAAGGCAGTGGCTTAACCAACTGAGCCACCCAGGCGTCCCTTGTTACCTCTTCTTGATGATAACCATTCTAATAGGTGTGAAATGATAGCTCATTGTTGTCTTGATTCGCATTTCCCTGATGGCTAATGATATTGGGCATCTTTTCATGTACCTGTTGGCCATCTGTATGTCTTCTTCGGAAAAATACATGTTTAGTTCCTCTGCCCATTTTTTAATTGGATTGTTTGTGTTTTGTTGTTGTTGTTATTGAGTTGTGGGACTTCTTTATATATTTCAGATATTCCTTATCAAATATGTGGTTTGCACATATTTTCTCCCATTCTGGAGGTTGTCTTTTAAATTTGTTATTTCTTCTGTGCAGAAGCTTTTTTATTTTTTTAAGATTTTATTTGTTTGATAAATAGAGGGAGCATGAGCGGGAGGGGCAGAGGCAGAGGGAGAAGCAGACTGCCCACTGAGCAGGGAGCCTGAATCAGGGCTCGATCCCAGGACCCTGGGATCATGACCTGAGCCGAAGGCAGATGCTTAACCGATTGAGCCACCCAGGCACCCCCCCCACCCCTTTTTTTTAAAGATTTTATTTATGGGACGCCTGGGTGGCTCAGTCGGTTAAGCGTCTGCCTTCAGCTCAGGTCATGATCCCAGGGTCCTGGGATCAAGCCCCACGTCGGGCTCCCAGCTCAGCGGGGAATCTGCTTCTCCCTCTCCCTCTGCTGCTCCCCCTGCTTGTGCTCTCTCTCTCTGTCAAATAAATAAAATCTTAAAAAAAAATAGTGTACAATTCAGTGGTTTTTAGTATATTCAGTGTTGTGCAACCATCACCACCATCTAATTCCAGAACATTTCCATCTCTCTTTTTTTTTTTTCTTTAAACTGTCCCTTCATTCTTGGGATTAACTCAGCTTGGTCATGGCATATATTCTGTTTTCAATATATTGCTGGATTTGTACAAAACCATTCTTTTTTTTTTTTTTAAAGATTTTATTTATTTATATGAAGAGAGAGACACAGCAAGAGAGGGAACACGAGCAGGGGGAGTGGGAGAGGGAGAAGCACGCTTCCCGCAGAGCAGGGAGCCCGATGCGGGGCTCGATTCCAGGACCCTGGGATCATGACCTGAGCCGAAGGCAGACGCTTAATGACTGAGCCACCTAGGCGCCCCCAAAACCATTCTTGATAGAACTTTTCTTTGGAATGAAATTTTGTCCCTGTTTTGTTCTTTTCACAGCATCTCTGGAAGCTGATGGTGGAAGAATCAGATTTACTGGGTCAGCTGAAGGTAACAGCTTAGCTGTCTTTTAATTCTTAAAATGATGCTGGTGGGCAGTGACTTTATTCTCTAGGCTCTCCTGAGAGCATTGGTTGCCTGTACCCAGACTTCCAGAGTGGCCTCACATGTCCTCATCCAGGAGGGCAAACTCTCCCTAATATTACACGTGTACTATAGCATAAAGGTTTGGGTGTTTACTTTCTTCTGGGAGAACATACTTGTGTTGCCAATGAATAAATGACACTAAAGACACACCAGTTGTCCTGCCTTGAGGAGTTGCAAAGTATGCCCATGTGAAATGCCCAAAGCCTGTATCCTTTTGTAGGCTGGGCTCACACTGATGAGATTAGAAACTTCATGTATAATGATGACAATGAGGAGCTCCTGGCCCTGCTAGATTACTGAATTATAAATTGAAATTCTTTCCGCAGATCATTAAAGACTTTTACCTTCTGGGACGTGGAGAACTGTTTCAGGCCTTCATTGACACAGCTCAACACATGTTAAAAACACCACCCACTGCAGTAACTGAACATGGTAATTGCCCTGTGGGCCTGAGAATTACCAGTTGACTGATGTTGTAGGGTGTTTCTTGATAGCTGCTGAACCATTCAGTCTGTTCCACGTAAGAGCAGCCTGGTGAGTTACAGAGCAGTGTTTCCAAAGATGGAAGGCCCTTCAGGTGGGCTTGCACACTGAGGTCATCGGGAGTAGCCTCTTGATCCTTCCAGGAAGAGTGGGTATAAATCAGGTATTTTATCAGATTATAGTCCTACATTCCTCACGGGACATATCACTACTTATTGCCACTTGTATTCGAATTCTTTAAGTTGTGAATGATGGAAACCTAACCTGAACTAACCTAGGTAGAAAAGGGAATTTATTTGCTATTTTATCTGTAACTCCAGTGGGATAGGACTATAGCTGGACTTCAGAACAACTGAAACTAGGGACTTGAATATTGCTAGAATTCTCTTTCTTACTGTATCTTGTCTGTGCCTCTTCCATGCTCTCTCATGGCCTTCCAGTCCCATTTGGAAACATGGCCAGCAACAGTTTCCAGGAACCACCTCACAGTGTCTACTAGAGGAGCCAAATCCAGTCTCTCTGGTAGCCAATTTTAAAAGATTCCAAGAAAGGGTTTTCATTAGCCCTGTCCAGATCATATATATACCCCTGCATCAAAGATGTCAGACATTAAGATACGCCTACTTCAGTAAAGGGTTCACCCATGACTAATGGGAATGATCACCATTCCCATTCAAACTACATGAGGAGAGGGCACCTGGGTGGCTCAGTCAGTTGGGCGTCCGCCTTTCACTCGGGTCATGATCTCAGGGTCCTGGGATCGAGGCCTGCATCCAGCTCCCTGCCCAGTGGAGTCTGCTTCTCCCTCTCCCTCTGACCCTCCTCCCTGCTTGTGCTCTCTCTCTGTCTCAAATAAAATCTTTAAAACAAGCAAAAACCAAACTACATGAGGAGAGTCAGGAAAGGATCAGAATCAAAAAAAGAAAATGGGGGGAAACAACAGGGTTACCTTTTTTCCTACTCTATAAAACAATAGATGGCCACTGTACTCACATAAGACTTTTCTCATTGCAGATATGAGAAAACCCAATTCAAACTCATGCAAAGGGGAAGAAAAATGTATTGATTCTGATAACTGAAAAGGTCAGAGGATGAAAGCTTTAGGCAAAGTCTGATCTGGTGGCACACATGACGCCTTCAGGACTTGGTGTCATTCCATCTTTCACCTCTGCCTTCTTTCTCAGACAGGCCTGCTCCATATGGTAGCAAGACGGCCTCCAACCAAGCTCATATCCCACTAAGTCCCTGTTTATCTAAAAAAAAAAAAAAGGCTCTACTCTGAATAGAGCCTCTGGATTGGCCTGGCTTGAGTCATATTCATGTCCCTAAACAAAACAGTGTAACAAGGTAGAGTATTATATTCCATTTGAGCATGCCTGGGTCACTTGCCTACCCCTAGCATCAGGTATTGTCAACCCCACTGAATCACTTGGATAATACTGGGAGGGATGATTCTCCAAGGAAAATTGGGTGCTATTATCAGCAAGAGAAGGAGAAATGCATGCGAGGCAGGCCAAAGCAGCCCATCTCCACAGACGCTATGGTTAGCATCAGGCAGGCTGGAGCAGAAGTGGAAAGCCAGCAGCATCTGGGTCTGTCATGTAGCCTAACATTCTTGTGAACCCATGTGCTCCTTCTTGCAGATGTGAATGTGGCCTTCCAGCAGTCCGCACACAAGGTCCTGCTGGACGATGACAACCTTCTCCCTCTGTTGCACTTGACGATTGAGTATCACGGAAAGGAGCATAAAGGTTTGCCATTCTTTCTTGCGTCTTTCTGCTCCTACGGGTTCATCATCTGTTCTCCCGTCAGTGCTTCCGCCCACCTCCACAGAAACCGTATCATTTTGGACCTTAGAAGTCACCTTGTCTGGGGCCCTATTTTATATGGGAGGAAAGGGAAGTCCAGAGAGGCTAAGTGGGATGCTCAGGCCATGGTTTTGTTTTTGTTTTTGTCCTGCTGCTAGAATGGTCTCTTTTTATTTCCAGCCACCAGACTTTAAGACTGAAAAAAATTGGAAAGACCTCCTAAGAGAATGTCACATAGACGTTTCTTGCCTCCTTCTGCAAGTCCCCATTTTGTCGCCAATATGCTTCTGACACTGCAGGCTCGAGTGAGCACTCACCTCATGAATGTGACTCACCTTGTCAAAGCCCTGGTTCTAGATGAACCAAGTGTCTTTTCTCTTAACAGATGCTGCTCAGGGAAGAGAAGGGCCTTCTCGGGAAACTTCTCCCCGGGAAGCCCCTGCATCTGGTTGGGCAGCCCTAGGTCTCTCCTACAAAGTGCAGTGGCCACTGCACATTCTCTTCACCCCTGCTGTTCTGGAAAAGTGAGTATTTCTGAATTTCTCATTGGTAAATATGACTTGACTTCCAAGGGTAGAAATGATCAAGGGATAGAATTGGTGGGAGCAAGATAACCACGCAGCTGGTGGTTGTACACAGTCTGTAAATCAGAGGCTGCAAACTCAGATGCCTTCGTGGACTGGACAGAAAACCTTAGCAGGTGAAGCTGTGGACACGAGGCCATGGGGGGTGCTGGGTGCGGGGACGAACAGGAGGGTCAAACCCTCAAATCATCAGTGTGGTGGTGGTGGTTGTGTGCGTTTGTTGTTAAAAACGGTTTTATTTTTTAAGCAATCTCTATACCCAACATGGGGCTTGAAATTACAACCCTGAGATCGAGAGTCACAGAGGCGCCCCTGTTGTCATTTTTTAAGTTGCAAAATCAGCAGTTTACAGCCTGCCAGTCTGTGGCCTCTGGAAGGTGCAGTCTTGGGCGCCACATGGAGAAGCTGGCTGTGGGTAATTCCATCAGACTAGCAAGTTTCCTCCCTAAAACTTTTGTAATCTTTTGTTGATCTACCTGGGAAGACTTTCTAAGCCCAAGTGTTTGCTGTGGACTTGAGCCACTGCAGAGAGATCACCTTCTTACCCAGGGAGAGGCGGTGGGGATGGCTAAGCTGGAGTGGAATACAGGAGCGGGACCAACGTGGTAAGAGGCTCTTGGATCAGCTTTGTTCTTTATCCTGAGAGCCTGCCAGGTGCTGTTGCTCGGCTCCGTCAGGACCTCATGTCCCCAAGCCAAGGAAGCAGAGCTCTAGGGGAAGGGAGGCTGGAGAAGCATGCTTGGCTAGTGGTCGCCTGTGGAGTCCGTCCCCACACCATTTATGAATCTCTCAAATCCTGTGCTGGCCCCTGCCGTGGTTGGAGGACGGCAGCTGTTGTGCTCCAGCTAGAGGAATGGAGGAAAGGGAAATAAATGAACAATAGGGCCTCTCTTCATCTCTCTGCTCCTGTTCACAATCCTCTCACCTTTTTGGGTAGAGCTTAGGGTATGAGAGCCTAGGCATGAACTGGAGAAGACGAGGCTGGTCGAGGGAGATTTCTGTGGCAGGTGTAGAGCCCACAGCCCACCTGAGGAGGCTGCACGGGCCTTGTCCTTGAGCCTTCACAGCTCCCAGTGTCCCACAGGGAAACATTTACATCCTCACCTGATACACTCTGAACACCCTTGAAGAAATCAATCTCAGATGTATTTTTTAAAACTTTTTATTATGAGAATTTCCAAATATAAACAAAAGTATGGACTATAATGATCCCCCACATATACATTATCCAGCTTCAGTAACCGTCAACATTATGCTGCTTGTTCCATCTCTTGTATTCGCTAGAGCCTTATACAGCAAAGCCCAGGCATGTCCTTTCACTCCATTGCTGTGCAATTCGGAAAATGCATGTTTTTAATGTAATTACAATGCACTATCACAGCCAATAAAATTAACAATAAGTCCTTATCTGGTATCTGGTGCAGATTGAAATTTTCCCAGTTAGCCAAAAATGTCTTTTTATATTTCAGTTTGTTCAAGTCAGAATCCAAACAAGGTGTACTATTTTTACTATGTTGTTCCATTAGAAATAGATGATTTTAAAAACCAAATCAGATTGGTTTCTGCAAGTCTGCCTACAAACAAGTAAATATATCCAGTTCCACTAGGAATCAGCTGTTCTTCCCATGTGTGTTCTCAGCATAGGGCTCAGCATTAGGCAGCTAGCCCCTGAGCTTGCCATGAGGCAGGAGTTAGGGACCCTTCGATTGCGTTCTCTTCTTTAGGACAGAAAATCAGATTAACTGAAATCCTTGCTTCCTAACACATTCTTATTATTGGTCCATGCAAGACCCTCCTTCCTTCTTACACATACACCATAAAACCACTTCCCAGCACAGAAACTGGAACACCGACAATAATGGTCTTTCCCAGTCTCACTCCCTTGGCTCCCCCAGCCCAAGGTCACCACTCTCCCACAGCCATGTTTTCTGTCCTTTTAATATTTAGTTTTATAACATTACATGTCGTGGCCAACGTGGTAAGAGGTTCTTGGATCAGCTTTGTTCTTTATCCTGAGAGCCTGCCAGGTGCTGTTGCTCGGCTCCGTCAGGACCTCATGTCCCCAAGCCAAGGAAGCAGAGCTCTAGGGGAAGGGAGGCTGGAGAAGCATGCTTGGCTAGTGGTCGCCTGTGGAGTCCGTCCCCACACCATTTATGAATCTCTCAAATCCTGTGCTGGCCCCTGCCGTGGTTGGAGGACGGCAGCTGTTGTGCTCCGGCTAGAGCTCAAAGTATGTTTTTTTTCTACTCGGTTGTTTTATTAAACATTATTTTATTATTATTAAGCCTTATTTAAAAAGTATATAAGGCTATATGTAATCTGAGATTTACCTTTTTTATTCAGAATCCTATTGCTAGGAGTCATCTTGGGTTGTGCAGCTGAAGCGCATTCATTTTGACAGCTATGTAGTATTCCACCATATAAATAAGCCACAGTAAATTCATCCATGGCTCTAGCCATTCTCCTTTCCTTCCTGCCTTTTGGGGGACGGGTGGCAGGCACAGAGTCCTAGGGTGTGTCATGCAGGTGAGGTGGGGAGTGAAGTTGTATTCTTGAAGAGCCTGACGTTTCTGTCCCAGGTACAATGTTGTTTTCAAGTACTTACTGAGCGTGCGCCGGGTGCAGGCCGAGCTGCAGCACTGCTGGGCCCTCCAGATGCAGCGCAAGCACCTCAAGTCCAACCAGACCGACGCAGTCAAGTGGCGCCTAAGAAATCACATGGCATTCTTGGTGGATAATCTTCAGTACTATCTCCAGGTCTGGGCCGAGGGATGAATAGGAGGAAGGAGTATGAAGAAAAGTCTGGGAGGTTGGCAGGGTTTACTGAAGAGGGGCTGCAATCCTGCATTGGATGAAATGTTGGGGGTTGAGAAAATTTACAGATTTTATCACCGGGCGGGGTTTCTTGGTGGCATTTTAGAGGAAAGTGGGAATAAAATGGAAGGAGAATGAGGAGTTTGGGGTTCTTGTCAGCAATGCAGTATTTAATTCTTGTTGATTTGACCCTCATTTTTAGAGTTGGCTAGAATGTCTGGAAGAAGACCTTTTAGGACTTAACCAAGTCAGTCAGTGGAGGGGATGTGGCATGAGGCGGGGGGATCTGCCAGAACTTTGGAGGTTATTAGGCATTAGGCAGATAACTTTCTACAAGGCTAAGCAACATAAGGGAGCCTTTGGTCAGCTTTAAAGTGGCTTGAATAGGAAGGAGAATTTCTCTTTCTTACTGTCAGGCATCTTAATGTCCTCGAGTGCTTAGAATGTGCTAGGTCCTGAAAGTATTTGTGTGTCACTGCCCATCAGGTAGATGTGCTGGAGTCTCAGTTCTCACAGCTGCTGCATCAGATCAATTCTACCCGCGACTTTGAAAGCATCCGATTGGCTCACGACCACTTCCTTAGCAATTTGCTGGCTCAGTCCTTTATCTTGTTGAAACCTGTAAGTAGGGCTGTTGGTTTCCTCAGACTGCTTCTCCCCTGACTGTTCCCTTAGATCCCGAGTTGCCAGGATATGGAAATATCATTAAACAATTGCTCGATCTCCATTTTCAGACCTTTTTCACAACTTAAAGCAAAACTGAAAGGGAATGTTAAAAGGGATCTTAAATGTCTTTGAATTTCTGAAATATTGTATCCTAGGGATGTGGTGAGCAGCTATAGAAGAAAGAATATGTGCTGAACCCTCAAAGGGAAGGATTTAATTTTAAAAACCTTTCTGACACCACAGAAAGACTAACGAAAAGCATATATAGTACTTACTTTCTTAGCAATCTTTTGGATCGGGATCGACCAGTTGAGAGTTGTTTTCACAGAGAAGTGGAGTAGTGTCTCCCTCTCTGTGTATGTGTGTGTGTACATCTCCTTCAGGGGAATTCTTCTCAACCTTGGCTACACGTGGGAATCACCTGGAAGCTCTAAAAAATCTGGGATCCCGAGCACTTAAATTAGAATCTCTGGAGTGAAACCCAGGCACTAGTGTTTTTTAAAGCTCACAAGTGCTTGCCAATTCCAGAACAGAAAGCGGGAAGGTTGAAATGACCCCTCATAGTTTCTCTGATTATACAGGTTACATAGATGACACTTCATCTCAGATGTCAGCCAGCTGTTCTCCCTCAGTTCTGCCACAGCACCAACTCTACGGCCTTCTCTTTTGTTCCTATTCGGAGCTATGTGTGCTGCACTAAGGGAGAGCTGGTTACACAGATGCCACTCCCAAGGGCTCTTTCTGTGAACTGACAACGCCAAAAGCCATCGTGACAGGCAGACTATCCTCGTATGGCACGAGCACTCCTTGGGAAAAGCAGAAGATCAGCGCAGGTGGTCACCATTAAATATTTATTGAGTGCTTACTGTATGCAAGGCACTGGGGATACAAAGAGGTATAAGTCATGGCTCTGCCCTTAAGGAGCTCACAATCTAGTTGGAGAAACAACATACATACATACAAACACAGATCAGTAACAACACAGGTGGCCTGAACAGAGGCCAAGAGAACAGTACAGATAATAGAGAGAGAGAAGCAGGGGGATCACTAACGGCTACACGGGGAAGGGAGTGCTCCACTGAGAAGGTGGAACGTGAACTGGCATTAAGGAGAGGATCCCGGGTATAGGGAACGACAGTGGAAGCAAAGCTCAGGGCAGGAGCACACTTGGTAGGTCCAAGAAATGATGACTGGTGTGATGTGGCTACAGTGGAAGTTTTGTGCAGGGGTAACTCAGAGAATGATAGCATCTTTGCCAGGAAGGGAAGAGTTTGGTTTACACTTGTTGCATTTTGAGGGGCCGCAGGACTGACACGTGACATTGTCTCTCCTGAGGTCAAAGAATGGGAATAAGGTAGCTCTGTTTTCCCAAATCTTTAATTTCATACATGTATCTTCCTTCTTTTCCTAATACCAACTGTTTCCTGGGTAGGTGTTTCACTGCCTGAACGAAATTCTAGATCTCTGTCACAGCTTTTGCTCGCTGGTCAGTCAGAACCTGGGCCCACTGGATGAACGTGGGGCTGCCCAGCTGAGCATCCTGGTGAAGGTGAGTCTGCCTGGCTGTTGGCAGTATGCAGCCCTGTCCAAAGGGTAGAGGTGGTTTTGCCAATGGGGAATCATGAGCTTTCCCTCTGCGTCAATAAAGCATTTCCCCAATACGTAATGTACACACAGAAATAACAAGATACAAAGATTAAAATGTTGGTATCAGTTCATTTTGAAGCAGATAGTTATGTGCCATCTCAGTATTCAAAAATAGTTCAGCCGTGAATAGTTTCTTCAGCCCACAGACATGCATTGGCTTTTTTCTCACATTCTCCTATCCAACCTCCTTCCTTTCTTGAGCGAACTCTGTTTCACTGGGATTGTAATTATCTGACTCGAACAAAAACACGCAGGCTCTCCCCGGCCCCAGTATAAAACAATATATTAATTTGAAAGCGGATGCTAACTTCCTACTGAGAATGGGAGTGTACTTCCACAGAAAGTCATGCTATCTGTGGACTCGGTACTAAGAAGACCTTTTAGGAGCTAAGAGAAGCGAGGCTGTGGGAAGGCCAGCTGGTGCTGTAGAATTTTGAGCAAGAGTTTTTCAACGAGCTCCCCCCTCCCGCCTCACTCCACACGGACAGTTGGTGAGTCTGAGAGGAATGACAGCCCGACTCCTCTCTGCAGGGCTTTAGCCGCCAGTCTTCACTGCTATTCAAGATTCTCTCCAGTGTTCGGAACCATCAGATCAACTCAGATTTGGCTCAACTACTCTTACGACTAGATTATAACAAATATTACACCCAGGCTGGCGGAACTCTGGGCAGGTAGGAACCAGCCTTGGGGAAGTCTGTGGAGAGAGAAAGAGAGAGAGTGTGTGTGTGTGTGTGTGTCTGTCTTTTTTAACAAGTTATAATTCCAGAGCTGGGAGACGTTAGCCACTGTCTCATCCAAATGGCCTCATTTTATAAACAAGGAAACTAATTAAAGCTCAGAGAGATAAAGGGGTGTGTTTGATCTTTATTAATTTTAATGAAGCTTATTTTCTAATAAAAGCCATTGTCATAGTAAAATACTAAAACTGATGCTGAGATGGATTTTTAGTTCTCAGCTGGGCTGGAAGAAAGAACTGGGAAGCGGAGTGGCTGTGGTTAGTTCCCAGGTCTGACATTAACCAGCTCTGCAGCCTCAGGCACCCTGCCTCCCTGGCCCCCAGCCACGCCAGGGAAAGGTGATCGCCCCTTCTAATTCTTAGCTTTTTAATCCAGTAGATTCAGTGGTGGTTGGCTTTTCTCAGAGGTCTCTTATATTTTTAAAAAGCACTTTATTGTTCTCCTTTCTCTCTGTCAGATGTCCTCAAGCAGATATTTCCTAAGTGATTTCAGCAAGAGTCAAAGAAAATTGAGTTTTAGAAGATGACATTATGCAGATCACAGGCTGCCCTGATTCCTCTTTCTTTGAAGAAAATCTTGGGAAAGCATATTTGATGAGGCTCTTTTTTTTCTTTTATAGTTTCGGGATGTGAAAATACCTGGTTCACAAATCAATAGTCTCTCACCATGTTCCCAAATCTGACAGAAGATTCAAAACAGCCCACTCTCCAGCCACTCAACAAATGCCTGCAGCCTACTGAGGGCCCTACCTTTTCCTCCTAGAAGCTACTACTACTGAACATTCGTGGGTACAAATCCTTCCCCATGTGGAACGGTCTGCCCCACCGTAGGGGAGCTCTTGCCTCACCCACCACGGAGGGCACGTGGTGACCCTGCAAGACCCACTACACGGAGGACATCTATTGGACACAACCATTTGCTGAGCACCTACGAGGTGCCTAGGTACTGTTCAAGCTGCGAGAGACGGCAGTAAGTAGTAACTTCCAATTATTTCAGACTGGAAAATAGGGCAATTCTAGCTATGGACAATGTATTTAAAGTGTTACTACTATTTTAACAACAAAGAAAAGGGGTCCTTAAGAAAAAGCTGAGGTCAAATTCTTAGATTTCAAATATTGAAAACTACGAGTCTAATTATCCCCTTTTGGAAGAACCACAGGAATTAAGGTTCCCTTGATCTGGCCCAACCATTACTGTAATTATTAATGTTCATCTTGGTGTGAACCAAAATAAATGTTTATTGAACAACTCCCTCTATATGAAAAAAGAATGCAGCATTCCGGCTTCAGTCTGTAGCCAGTGACTCTGGTCCTTATCTCTGTGACAGAATATCCTCTACCACACACTGCGTCCTGTTTCCTACAATTGTGTGAAGGTGACCCCTTCCACTGCTGTCTATGGAGAAGTTAGCAAACTATGGCCCGCCACCCGTTTTTGTAAATAAAGTTTTATTGGAACCCAGCCACACTCATTTATCTATTGTCTATGGTTGCTTTCATGCTATCATGGCAAAGGTATTTGTGACACATCAAATGGTCCAGAAAGCCTAAAATATTTACTGATTGGCAAGAAAAACCTTTTAACTCCTGCTTCAGAGAATGAGAGGACATCAACAGGGATGCTGCTAGGGGTAGAGAAGGAATAGCTTCTAGTAACCGTGACAGCAATAATAGTTATAAAATTGGACCTCTGGCCAGAGCTGCTAACATTTCCAAGTGTTGTCCCTGTGTTTCTCGTGTTTATCCTTGCAGAAAGTCATCCCATCAGGCTTACAGTCGTTGCCCTTTCACAGCAATTGGGGCTTTTTCCTTTTTAGTTCTCAGAGTACAGTACCCACAGGTCAGCTCAACTCTAAAAAGATTTTTTAATTGCCAGGAAGTGCCCCATTCCATTGAACTTTTGCTACATCTATTGATCTGGGCCTACTGTAAAATCGGGTTTTTGGAAGTATCAAATTTTAGACAGCCCAGGATAACCTTTTGACAAAGATGCCACAGAAAATTTTAAAATTCACTTAGTTATTTTCCTTGGCTAGCTGTCCTCCTACAAGCCTATTGGAAACCGCAGAGAAGGTACTATGTTTGTCTTGCTATTTGTTCTGCAACTAAGTTCAAAGAAATGGATGAAGAAATCCCAGTTATTACAACCAAAGAGATTCAACATTTATTTTATCATAAAAGTCCATCAAATAAAACTATATACAAGATCCATGCAAGGAGTCCAGTTACACACAAGACACATTTAAAACCTGGTTAAAACACAATCTCCACAACAGCAGGGAATAAAATCATTCAGATCAAGTATCCTTAGTGAGAAACATAATCATGTTTATATTTTGGATGCTGCTTGAATCCAATTCTCTCCCCAACAATGAGGCACTGGATCACCCACTCTTGTGACACCACAGGCAGCTGCAAAGCTTCAGCACACTTCAGCACCGAGGCTGGGCATGAGGGATCCGTCACCACCACGTCAAATACCCCTAACGCAATATCTGCAGGAAGCAGGGGAAGGTGAGGGAGGAGAGGAGACTCAATTTAGCCTTCCATTAAAAAAGATGTGCTTCCTAGCCAGTATGTCGCATTGTGCCCAAACTGAAGCCTTTTATGTCAAACAGTGTTACTGATCACAACCAAAAATGAAAAGTTATAATCACTATATGCTAACCTTATAGATATGTTTATAAATACACCACTGGACACCAGTAGAAGCATCAACAGCCCACTGCCTCACTCCTAGTGGCTCACCTCTTGAAGGTGGTACCTTTCTTTTAGAAACATGGATAATGTCAACCAATCAGACTGCAAGGCCTAACACCTACGGGTCTAAGGACATCCTTGGAGCAATAACACCACACACACTTTCCAGGTACCTTTGTTATGGGCACTTGAATGGTGCTGCTTCACGGAGGCTGCCCCCCCAGTCATGAGGATCTCAGACCAGAGCTCCAGGAAGTTCTGCTGTTGGTCTGACACCAAGAGTACCTTCAGATTGTGGAAAGGGTTTTCACGGGGTTGCCTATGAAGGAGTCAGAGACACAGCACCTTGGAATTGGAAAAGACCTCAGCATGACAGATTACATCCAACAAGAGCCCCTCTGCAAAGGGACTTGGGCACGTGTGAATGTTTTCCAAAGCCTTGCATTAGGGCACCACTCCCCTTCTCTCCTGTGAATCATGTCTATTCTCTGGGATCCTAGCCTTCTAATACAGCCGTTCTGCTGTCCAGGTCCGTCCTGGGACTGAGAATAAAATGCCTTGCTTAAAACTTAGTCCCTTAACCTTAGAGGTCAAGACTACTAAACACCTACATGGAAATCCTCACACATTTTCAAAAAGGTCCTTAACCAGGATACCTCAGGGACATAAACTAGATGAACTGCTGAAATGAACTCAAATTCTCTAATTTATCCTATGACGATTCTAGTTTCTAGAAATACTCTCACCTAGATTCTCCCCCTCCAAAAGCTTGCTGTCTTCCTGCCTACCATCCTAGATGGGCTCTCAAATACTCACCAATCCAGAATTCTTTGCTCCTCAAGGCTGTACCCAGCAGGCAGCAAATAATTGCGGTAATTCTGGAGTTGGTTGGCATGGCAACTATCATGGACCCAGACATGAGACACACAAGGAATCCCACTGGCAAGGCACAGGAAATACTTCCGGGTTCGACAGTGCTGATCCGCAATTAGGAGACACTGGTAGGCTGTATTACACTGGAAGAAAAGGAACAAAACCAATGGGTTTGGTGACTTCTGTAGAAAGCCCCTGAAGAGCAGCCCTGAGTCGCAGGGGACAGATCTAAACACTTCCAAATACTACCCAAAATGCGGTTGAGCCTATCCTTCTGCCCAACGCTTCCTTTCTCAATGAAAGGCCCAAGTGACTTCCCTAGATACTCTCCCTGCCTCAACTGCAGGTTTTTCTGGGGGCCTGAACCCTCAAGGGACAACCCAATCGCAGGTATTCAACCTTCCAGGCTGAGAATCAGCAACACTGTAATAGGGATTTCTATTAAACACAAATTTGAATCTGCTTTTGTCCCAGAAACAGAACCACAGCCTTTAACAAACAAGGGTTCTAATTTCTCTTCCTTACACACAAGTAAAAATTCTATCTCATGCAAAACCTTGTAGCAGTTTCCCAGTGCCTGAACTGTCCACCTGGTGTACCCAACCTCCCCATCCCCTCCCTGTCAGGCTCTTCTCACCCCTGCCCCTCCAGGAAGCGACACAAAGAAACTCCTCACCTGGGCTTCATTGAAGTCTTCAAGAATATAGCCAGCTCCTGCTCGAAGCTGGGATTCTGTATACTGCTTGTTGAAAGGAGGAATTTCTAAAAATTCTATTTAAAAAAACAGACAACCAAGATCATAATTACTAGTTGGTTTCTTATTCGCTACTTTAAGCCTGCTTCTTACTGCCTCCTTTTACACTCCCCCCGCTATCTCTATAGCACTATATCCCAAAGACAGACAGATCAAAGGTTTTCCCATGGGTCAGAAAGAGCTCTGTCATGAGGATTACAAAATGCTGCCAAAAGAAGGGACAAGAGCAGAAGGGGTGGGGAAGATGAGAAATGGGGTGGGTCCTAGACCTAAAAACGTCAAAGGTTTCTGTACGGAGTCATGGGACTGTTAACAGGGATGGACACACAACCAGTTCCCATGGTGAGGTATTCCAATTTGAGTAACCCTTACCATCAGGACGCTGTCCCTTAGGTCTACCCTCAATCTCTCCTGCAAACTACGCCCATTTCCTCTAATTCTGCTGGCTTGTGGAGACGAAGAATAGCTGATTAAGCACTTTTTCTAACAAAGCCTTCAAACTCCCCCTTAATCAGCATTTTTACCCCCTATACACTAAAACTTTGAAGAACCAGAATGCTCAAAGTAAGTAGGGTTTCTAAAATGTAACTGATTAAGTGAAGGTTAGCCAGAAAAATCCTATTTCAACCTTTTTATTGAAAACTATCTACCTTTGATGATCTTGAAGTACCTCAGGACACTGAACATCAATGACTGCATTACAGTCTTGAGGGTGAAGTAGAAGTTATGAGAGATGAGGCTGAAGCTGTAATGACCCTAGGCAATTAGAAATTGCTTCTTTTGACCAAATATCTGCTCCTCTCATATATAAATAACACATTAAAAAAAGAAAAGAAAAAAGCAAGACATTAGAGATTTTAGTTAATTAGGACTTCTGAGAAATTAAGTTCTAATGAACTTATCACAAATAAAAAACCCAACCAATTTCAGTTCAGAGTTCAGTGCCAGGACCACTCCCCATCCCCCTCATGCCCAATGGTAAACGCCGGCAGAGCAGACCCCTGGCAGAGAGGCCAGCCCTGTGGTGCCCTCCCTGCCTGCTGGAGCTGCCTGGAAGTGCAGGGTGCCCCACACTCAGGCCTCTACACCTCCGGGTAGGTCTGACTGGCAAGCCCATTCACCTTCATCGCTCTTCTCTTGACCAAGCATCCTCCATGTTCCTCTTAAAATGAGACTCACACTGGAAACTCTAAATGGTTGTAAAAAACTCAGAATATAGCAGGACTATTTCTCAGCCTTGTCACCACATCCTGTTGATCCATCTCAATATACCTCGTCACAATTTTCAGTACCAACACTCTACTGCTGAGTTACTGCCAAGGCCTCGCATGGTCCTTTTTCCCAAAACTTCAATGTTATGTCTGCTTAATCCAGGTCTGTTTCTAGTCCTGACCTATTTAGATTTTAATCCCCAGTTATATTTCTTCGCATCTGTGTAATCAAAGTATTACCCCACCTAGGCAGTAGTCCGCTCCTCTACTTTTTCTCATTTTGGATTTTTCTTTTTTGCAGCTTATGAGTGGCCCTGCCCCACCAGAGGCTAAAATGAACAGGTTTTTAATTCCATCATCTAAATCAAGGACAAAGGTACTAAATGAACCCAACTGTAGAGTCAAATCCCCATGGCTGATAGGTCCCTGATGGTATGCCTCCCAACAATACCAGGTGCCATATTCTTAATTCATTAATAAATAGGTCTCACTAAATGGATTCAAATATTTTATGAGCTCCTGATCTAAAGTAACATCTAAGAAATTCCCATTTTTCTTTAAAACTGTTAATACTCTGTTAGAAGATTGTTTTAGTAAAAATGTCTTCAGGCTTCTTGAGATTGAGGGACATTCAATGTGCCAAAAATATCAAGGACTTTGGTACTGTTGCAATGTCCAATGATAAAGGAGCAACATAAAACAGACATGTTCACTATAACCACATTTTCCACAAGAAACCTGGAAATCGGGGCACCTGGGTGGCTCATTCGGTTAAGCATCTGCCTTTGGCTCGGGTCACGAAACCAGGGTCCTGGGATCCAGCCCTGCATCAGGCTCCCTGCTTAGCCCTGCCTCTCCCTCTGTCTGCTGCTCCCCCTGCTTGTGCACTCTCTGTCAAATAAAATCTTTAAAAAACCTGGAAATCTCCCTTAAAAATGCCCAATTTCCTCCTCATTTAGACAAGGCCTACCTCCCCTCACTTTTTGGTTACAAGGTTGAGATTAAAAACATTTGATATATCAGCAATGGAGGGAATTTTTATGAGCTGAGTTTATTAATCTCACCCAGGGTCACAGATTTTTAAGGAACTGGACCATCTGCATCTCATACCAAAGCTGGCTTTCTTGACCATGCTGTACCAACCCACAAATAAAACATCTACAGAACTGCCTTATGAAGTCCTGGTCTAGTGAAGGGCTAGGAGTGTGCTGGAGAATAAGGAAGGTCCAGAGTCTAGCAATACTGTAAAAGCAAAAGAAAACAAGACCACAAACACTGTTTTGATGCCACAGCACATTTCGCACAATCCTCAAGGGACTCATTATGATCAAAGTGAAACTACACTCTTGGCTAGGAAACTCTTCATAAACCTTATCTCCAGTGATACCTATCTCAATTCTGTCTGACAAAAAGGCTGGGTGCACACTTAACCTTGAAACCCCACACATACCACACCTGCTCCCGCATGCCAGAGCCGATCTTACCAATCACTCTGTTTATGCACCTTCCAAACAGCATAAACCCTACCTGGAACTCCCCAACCACCCTTCCTACGTCTCTACAGACCTCCACATGGCTGCGGTTGGTGAGATAGAGTTTTGGTTAGTTAGCGAAGAGTCATCCACACACCTGAAATGCCAACCATCACAGATCTGCAGTACTGCTATTTTATGATAACCATGTTCCCTAATTCAATTCCCTCTTGCAAGATTCAACTCTAACCTGCAGAACATCATCCCATCTGGACCTTTAGCTTTCGCAGAAACATCTGGATGCTGCTGTTGAGTCACTTAATAGTGCATACATTTGTATGTGACCATTTTCTCTCCTAGAGCACACACTCTTTAGACAGTTGAAACAATTTTTACCTCTTCCCACTGCAGCCTTCACTCAAACCCTATGTTAACAGACAACGTAGAAATGCAATATATAGATGTAGTTTAAGGTTGAAGAGAGATACAAGAGTTGAAAAGGCTTAGAAGCTGTTTGTCTGTAATGACCCTAGGGCTCTGGGCACCCTACATTCTCAGTCTTATGCTCAGACCTCAAGAGACTGAACTTCAGCCCCAACGTGGGTTTGCTCTAGCAGTTGGCCCTAGAACACAGATGGGAAAGCAGCAGGGCATTCAGAAACTTGACAGATCTGGATGACTGCAGTAGGATAAAATGAACAGAGGTTCTAGTCCCAAGTCTACCACTATTGCAGAAAAAAGCAATTATTTAACCTCTCCAAGCTTGTTTCCTCATCTGTAAAGCGGATGGTAAGATCTCTCCCACCTGCCTCACAGTGTTGTTTTGAGGAGCCACCAAGAGGAGTTTTGTGGGAACAGTCTGTAAATCAAGAAGCAGGCCTCGTTCATTTTCCCCGACCAAGATCCCAGATGCCACCGGCACTGCTTCCTTTACAGGCTCACAGAGTGAATGGAAAGGAAGAAAATGCCCAAGTGTCAGAGCCCCCAGGGCTTCCTAGGGACTTACCCTCCTCTTCCTCACTGCTTCCTGTAGGACCATCTGGCAGTTTGGAGCGACTGGCCAACTTGTCACTGGTTGTGGCCATGGTGAGAAGAAAAGCATAGCCCAAAAACAAGGTCTTGTTGAGGGGCAAAGGCCCTCTCTGCTCTTCCAGGGCAGAGGGTTCACCCATGTTGTCTCCACTCTCACAGGGGCTCACAAACTCTCCTGCCCCCACCGCCCCTGGAAAGGACAGAACACAGTTACTAGAAGGCTACAGACCACCAACTGGGCACAACGGGACGGGTAGGCAGTGTCCTGATCAACTCTTTTGAGCTACTGACCAAAGACCATTAACCTAGGACTCAATAACCCAGGACCCAATTTACAGTGTAGAGAAATGTGATGTATTTAAATTTTACAGTCATGATGATATATACATGATTTTCATAAATGAAAATCAACTAGTATTGTTTTTATACAGTGAAACCAAATACTTCCGAGATCATTTGAAGAAAGTGGTGGTTCTAAAACAAACAAAGCTTAGGTAAGAATGAAAAAATATTTGGAAATCTTCAGCCCACTTTCTCTGCCCAGTGCTCGCAATTCCCCAGGATATGTGTTATTTTGAAACAGCCCTTAAAAACAGACAACAACAAAAAGCCCAAGAAATGTCCCTGGCAGATACTCCCACCCTATCCCTGACCCTCACCAGAATGGTGCACACAATACTTGGTAATAGTGTTCTTACACGTTCATGGAGCTCCATCAAACCAGCCCACTTCAACTGTCCGAGTTTCCAACCCTTGGGGGTGAGTGAGCGAACCAGCCAACCCAGGACTCCCAGAACACCCATGCTACGAGTGCCCCAATAAGTCCTCAAAAAGAAAACAAATACCTGATTTGGAGAAGCGGAATCATAGCCTCATTAGGAGGCTAAGATGACAGGTCATGCCTCCCTAAAACAAAACCAGCAGGAGGAGAACAGTCTGCTGTAGTATGTATAAGCCTGGACTTGAAAGTCAAACTGCCTGAGTGTGAATTCTGGATTACTAGGTCACCTTGGGGAAGTTAGCCCACTTTGCTGTGCCTCAGATTCTTCACCGGGAAAATGCATTCTAGCACCTGTACCTCACAGGGATCATTTGAGGTAATATGTGTGAAGCACTTAGTTCCATGCCTCACATAACCTGAACACAACAGAAGTGTGAGACAGATATGAAGAGGACACAACCCAAATACACAGCAAACAAAAGAAGTTCTGGTGCCAGGACAATGTAACAATCAATGAAGTCCTTCAGTTTGCTGCACTGAGAGGGCTCCCTCAGGGCAAACACTGAGGCCTTTACGCCTGTGTCTCTAGAACCCCAGTGGCTGTGAATGGATCATAGCAGAGACTCTGTAAACAGAGATGGATAAATTCCTGTTAATATGAAGCATGAGGGACTGGAAAACAGTTGTTTGGCGAACAGTACGAGGAGGGGAGATGCAGAGGGAGGTACTAGCTTTCAAGAGGAAATCTGGGAGAGCCAGAGGACCCTGAGGGCAAGAGAGGGGGAAGCAGAGCCTCCTGAGGTAGAAGATGGTGCCAGGTAAAGGAAGAGATGTAAGACCAATTGCACCAATTTTGAATCTGCTTAAAATTCAATACTTCTTTCCCTCTTAGAACCTACTCAGAAGTCAATGGATGTTTCCAATCAAGATCTCGTGTCCTGTCTACCTCTACTGGACTCTGCTGGGAGATGCATAAAGGTGGATGCAGTCAGCGGAGTACCACCTAGGGCTTGTGAGGGACCCCATCTTTGTAGCCAGGACAGAGGGGCCATCGCCACTTATCAGGCTGCAGCTCCCCAGCAGGTGGCCCTGCAGTCCACAGTGGTCTGAGGGAGAATGAGGCAAAAGGGAGCACTTACCAGGTTTCACAGTGGCAGACTTCCGGCCTCGCTTGGCAGGGGACCGTTCCTCTTCAGAAGTGATCAGTTTTCTTTTGCCTGAGAGAACTCCCGAGGAGGCACGAGGGCTTTCTGTGGTCTTGCGGGTAGGGGTTGTGCTGCTGCTGCTGGAGGCAGTGGGGGTGGCCGGGGAGCTGATGTTGCTGCGCCGTTTCCGCTTCCCTTCCACCAAATTATCTAGGATAGGATAAGCCAAAGGTTGGTCAACTCCCATGGTCCGAGGCCCTGGTCTTCAAGAAGCTGGGCAGAGCCTGAGTTAGAGATCACCACACCCTTTCCTCCACCTCCCACGGGGGCAGAAACCTCTTTCCAAGCCACCATCATTTCATTTCGGTCTCAGTCATGACCGAAATATGTCTGGCTCCCTGCAGAACTGGGGAGGCCAGAAGAATCTGAGAACTTACTATCTGGTCCCAGGAAGGAAACAGAGGTAGGCAGTGGCTCCAGAAAACGGCAGCTCATCAGCATCTCAAACACCACAGGAACAGTAAGATTTAGGGAAGCATGCTTACTGCTCTAGAATTCACTCCTCCCACCACAAAGCAGGGGCCCAGAGGCAGTTTCTCAGGAAGCAAAGGTCTTACCCAAGCTGATGTCTGCTGCCTTGGTGAGGGGTGTTACTGCTTCATATGGGCCAAGGCCATACTGCTCCCTTAGTCTGTTTCCTTGCTCCAAGGACAAGATGACAGCCATTCGCTTGTACCACTTCCTTTGGCCTTCTTTTTCAATGCTGTAGTACAGCTCTCCAGACTCCTTCCTATGCCCTTTCACCACTCCTGGGTGGGAACAACATAAGAGCAGCCTGCTGTTGTTTTAGGTTGCTCGGCATCCATTCACAATGGCTCTGCACAGCGGGATTGGGTCAGGGCATTAGGAGGTCCCACAGTGGGCTGAAGTTAGTAAAGAAATTCCAACTATCAATCCGAGACAACACCACCACTTAGGAATGTATGTAGCTACTACCCTGGGATTGGGACATGGAAAGTTTCTCAACAGAAGGAACCCTTTAGTTATAAAATAACTTCCTAAAGCCAGCCTTTATGAGTTGTCAGTAGTTTCTTTTTTGAAGTGAAACGACATGTGGTTTCTTAACAATCCCATTATAATTTACTAAACCTTTCGTTCTTGGTTTCTTTGGAGGCTGATTGATAATTCTTAAGTTAAGTTGTAGGTGAAAGATAACATCACTCTGAGAGAGCATGTATCTGTGTGGCTAAATCCAAATAGAGAAATAGAGCAAAGAAAGGAAAAAATAAATAAATTCTGCCTCTCCTGCCTAATTTTCCCTATTATCTACTTCTTGCTCTGATTCAGAACCTAAAGATAAGGCCTCTAGGTTAGAAGGAACACAGTGTGGAGTATAAAAGGGATCAGGGCTGGAATTCAGGAAATCTGAGCCTACATCTCATTCTGCCACCACCAAGCAGTGTGATCTTGGGTAAGACCCATTCTCAACCCTATGAAAAAGATCATATTCCTTCCCTCTGCCTATCAATAAACAATTTACACACACGTGTGCAATATATATATGTGTATACACACACACACAACACATATATAAGATAAAAACAAGGCATTATCATGAACACCTTTTATAAGGGTCCATTTGTTTTCCCCCATTAGCCTGTGCTTGAATGAAGGGCTAAAAGAAACCCAGAGCATATGCCACCAAGGAAAGAAATACAGACAGGAAAGTAGGCCTTGGTTCTCTCTTTCTCTATACCACACAACCACTCCCTTTCCCCTTGCTTCTTCATCTCCTGGCTTAAATCTCTATCAGGAAACTAAATCACAAAGACCCCCTTCAAAAGGACAAAGAAACACAAAGCAAAAATATACTTCACACTGATGAAGAGTTACTAGAACTAGAAGCAGTCTAACACTGACATTAGTAGACAGCCTCAATAAATGAGACACAGACTCCCCACCCCTTGACGTGGTAATTCATCCTGGATAGAGACTGTCTCTTTGTCTTAAAGAGAACCTCCAAGATAAGCTTTACACCAGAAAAAGAAGAATGAATACATTTGATACAAACTACGTAAGCCACAGGTCATAAAAGACCTAAATCCATGTGCTACTAACAGATGCCACACAAAGCTAAGTGTTATCCAGAGCTAGAAGGTGAAGTTTAACAGTGAAATAAAGGGGCAAACAACAACTACTCCAGAGTCTACATCACAAGAAAGTCGGAAGACACTTCATCAGAGGCGCTGTTGTCCATTATATCCCAATCAGTGTTCCAAACAATCTCCAGAAATGATGTTATATCCAAATTAGCTCATAGAAAAGAGGCAATATATTCAAAGAACTGGCACATGAAACAGTCATAACAAATATAAATCTCTCACCATCACCATTATAGGGAACTGGCTACTTAAAAAAAAAAAAAGGTAGCATTTTTCAACTCAGACAGGCACAAAAACACAGTACTAACAACTTCTTCCTAAGAAAAGTATCTCAATATATCTGCCACACTCACCTACTAGATTCCCAGCAAGGCAGGTACTATATGTAAGTCTCAGTGGTGAAAAGGAAAAACACTAACTTGGGGCGCCTGGATGGCTCAGTCGTTAAGCATCTGCCTTCGGCTCAGGTCATGATCCCAGGGTCCTGCGATCGAGCCTCGCATCAGGCTCCCTGCTCAGCGGGCAGCCTGCTTCTCCCTCTCCCACTCCCCCTGTGTTCCCTCTCTCGCTCTCTCTCTCTCAAATAAATAAAATCTTTAAAGAAAAAAGGAAAAACACTAACTTTACAGTGGACAAACGTGGCAAACACTTTAACCAAGGGATAAAGGTTAACGAGACCAGTGATGTCCTGTGGATGTCACTGGCCTCTCTCCCCCGTATGATATAACAAGAAGGGCACTTCACCTCCACAGCAGTCTTTTCAAAACCCTCAACTCTGATCTAATCAAACAAAACATGAGACAAACCCAAACTGAGCGACATTCTACAAAATACTTAACCAGTATACCCCTCAAAACTGTCAAGATCACGAAAAACAAAAAAAGATTCAGAAACTGTCACAGATCAAAGGAGATCGAAGGACACATGAGGGCTAATGGACTGGATCCTGGAACAGAAAAAGGACATATGCAAGTTGGTGAAATCCAAATAAAGTCTGGAATTCAGTTAGTTAGTAAGGAGTCAAGGTTAGTTTCTTAGTTGTGACAATTCTACCACGCTAATGGAAGATGTTGACAACAGGGAAAGCTGGGAAGCTGGGTGAGGGGTGGACAGGGGCTCCCTATGCTATCCCAGTATTCTGCACTTCGCACAGTACTCTGTATACTTAGAGTATTATACCAAAGTGAGCTCATTCAAAAATAAGCAACCAAGGAAAACCAAAAAGCCAGTGTGAAAGTAACCAGTGTAGCAGGAATGGCATTTCCGGCTTTGGAGACCCCTGCAGAGCAGTTAGGCTGGAGCGAGTGCTCGGGGTAATAACTGACTGGAGAGAAGCCTGCCCCAGCAGACTCCATTCCCCTTTATTACCTGCACTGAAATACTCATCCTCGGAGAGGGCTGTCACTTCCGTATCCAGAGGAATGGGGTCACACAGCAGAATGTCCTTGCCCAAAACATCACACTCGTACCCATCATCAAAGAGCAATTTATACTTCCCAGCTCCGACATCACGAGTGATTTTCCCAGAGTAAAAATAGCCATTGGACGACCACTTGGCTACAACACGGAGCCCTACAAAGCTATTCCCTGGAGAGGAGGCATCTAAGCCATCAGAAGGGCCAGCAGCAGCCTGGAAAGGAATCTCTGGAGAGTCACTTCGACGCAAAGCACCAGCACCCACGTCTGCTCGCCTGGTGGAGTCCGGCACTCGGGGCACAATACGGGTGAAGGATTTATCGTCTGGTGACATGCTGGGTGAAATGTCCTCTATGCCCAAGGGGCCAGGAACAGCTGTTTCTCTAAAGAGAGATAAGAGATAGGAGGCAGCAGTTAGAATTAAGAAAAGTACTTATCTACCAAGTTTCCCACTTTGTCCATGGGTCTTCCTCAGCCCGTTCTTGGAGGACCCCATCACAGGCATAAGCCTGGTTTCTTGGTAGCCTCTCTGATCCCTGCCCGCTCCCCGGTCAGTGCAGACCCCTCATGCCCCTCCTGACACCCACACACTCTCTACTCCCCTCTCTTCTCTCTACTCCCTTTTTTTTCTGAACAAGTCATAGACTAAGTGTATCTCACACTACCCGGGTACCTGGTTCCAGTGGTCCGAGAAGGCGGGCGGCCCCTTCGCCCGCGCCCACGAGGCGTGACTGGAGCCTTCCCTCCCTGTCTGATGCCAAGGCCTGCATCACCATCCTCCTCACACACTGGCGCCCCTGTCTGACTGACCCCTTTTCTAGGACTAGAGAATGAAGACAGGTTAGTCTGACAGCACCTGCTATTGGGTCCTTTCTTCACAAAGTCTCCCCACGGCCCTTAAACTACATGCCAGACCAACATGTGCTAGCCCTCCAGGGCAGCAGGAAGCTGGTCTGCACACCCACCACCAAAACTATCAGCCAGGGAGTGGGAGTGTACGATAACATGTAAAGGACATCCTCCTCTGTGCAAGTCTGTTCCCTCCTGACAAAGCCTCCTACCGCTGCCCTCAAGAACAGCACACCCATTTCTGCCCTGCCTTCTCTTCTACTTCAGGCTCTAGACACCTGCAGAGGGTAACAAAAAGCTAGGGATGTGTCAAGTTGGGGTCACTGGCCTAAACTTTTTGTACTCCCAACCAAAACACTTGTAGGCTACATAAAATGGGGACAGCAGCAGCATAGGCCAGCATTCCCAAAGTCCCCTCACCTGTTTTCCTACATTTTCTTCGAAGTCTAGCTCCCACAGAGTTCCACCCCACCTCCCATGCAAAACCAAATAGGAGAGGAACAAAAGGGGAGGAAGAGGATTTGAGTTATCCTAGTTGGAGGACGGGGGGATTTCCCATGACTCCCTTTTTCCTGTGATATTAAAATGTCAGCAACCCTGCCCCTGCTGTAGCTCTCTCTCTCTGGAGACCCTGTCTGCACCTCAGTTTTCCTGGGCCTCCTCGGGAGCTGGGCAAGGCAAAATCTGCGGGTTCTGTCCCGCTGGTTTTCCCTTTGAGTGGTCCGGCTCCTCTCCCTGAGCTGCCACTGCTGTGCATGGCTGAGAGGCTTGTCCCACTTGACGTGTGGTGTAAGCTGGATGCCTTGGAGGAGAAGGAGCTGATATCCCCCAGGTCCCCTGAGGAGCCCCCAGTCTGTGAAGGGGAAACTTCGGTTTCACATTCCTGACACTCTACAATTGGCTCTTCGGTCTCCTGCAAGAAAGAAATGGATACAAAAGCTAAAAGAAGCCACAATGACATCATGCTATCGTGGAGGTTGAAAAATCCTAGAGATGGATGGAAATTTCAATTCAGAAAGGCAGGAATCAGGAGACTTTCTGGAATAATGGAAATGTTCTGTATCTCGTTCTGAGTAGTGGTTACATACAATTAATTGTCAAAAGCCACTGAACTGAACATTTGAGATCTGAGCATTCTACAGGGAATATATTATAGCTCAATAAAAAATAAATAAAGGTGATACTAGATTGGAAAGAAAGAGACCTCTATTATAAGCTAGTAAGTTAAATTATCTTTTTACTCGACAAATTCACAACCTTTACTGAGAAAACAGTAAGGATTCTAATCCAGACAACAGAGGCAATTTTCTGTCTGGGAGAAGAGAAGTAAGGAAGAAGGAAGGTTAGATGAGGAAAACGAGTGGTTAGGAGCCCTTCTGGGTATTTGATCAGCAGTGGATAAAATTACATGTTTTTTGAAATTAGTTATATTACTTTTCCATAAATGATAAAGGAAATAGAAAATTACAGGCAAAAATAGGTTAAAAATGGTGTTACTGTTTAGAAAAATGAAAACCAAAAAGGTAATAAAACATACAAGATTGCAGTATCATAGAAGACAGAAATGTCAAACTGACTTTATCTCACTTGCTGACTTTGACGGACTGGTAACTGGAGCTGTTTTAAGCAGCCCTTGGAGGCTAATTTCCAAGCTTATGCGAAAAGGTTCCCAGACCAATCAGTAACGTCCTCTCTGGGCACAGGACTGAGAATTACAGCCCAGGTGCTGTACATTTGCCTTCCTGGTCTAGACTGTTCATGCATTATTGTGCAGATCGTCAGAGAAGAAATGGAGACTTGTAAGACAGACTCTCCCCCGTCTCTGGGCATACAGTATGCAATGCATACACATTTAAATAATGCTACAAGATAATTAAATGATTATTTTTGACCACTCCCTTCTTGAAAATCTCTCCCTTGGAATCTACAAAGTCACTTTTACTTTCATTCCACCTCTTTGGATACTTCTATATGTGCTTGTTTTGGGGGTTCCTCTTTCTTGGTCTGATCCTTTAGAAACAGTATTTCCCAGGACTGTTCTCATTCCCTTTTCTTACTCTACCGTGCTTTCCCTAGCCAGTCTTACCAGACTCATCCCTGCCTACCAACAACACGATGACTCAGCTCC